TGGGCGGTAGGTCTGGGGTTGGCTTAGGTTTCAGGTCTGTGGATCTGGGGCCGGGGTTTAGATCACAGCTCGGGCGGATTCGGGGGCTTCGGGCAGTCCGCCCCGTGCCGTGCCTGCGAGACATTGCATGAGCTGGTATCAGTGACGGTGGTCCCCTGTCAGAGATGCCCAGGCTAAGGGTTAAGGATTTGGGGACTGGGGGCCCAGGATAGTACTGTGTGGTTGTGCTGCAGTGATGAATTCGTTGGTTGCGGGAATGCTCGTGCACCATACGCATCTTGGCGTCTGGTTGCCCATCTTGCCGTGTTCCCATTGTCTTGCGATCGCCTCATGAACCATCACCATCCTGCTACTATTGCCATTTTCTGCTTCGCAAACTGTTTTCGTTTCCTCTTCTGTCTCAGTCTCCCCATCATGCTCTTCTCACCAACGCTGTTTATTTGTTGCTGGCCGTGGCACAGAATGATCGCACCGTTTGTGAAGTGTTTTTGCTTGATTCATGCGATGCACGACTATCAGGCATCAGATGCTCCGTGTTTATCTTGCCGTAGGACGTCCTCGTCTGGCTGTCTCAGTTGCGCATCATCGTTCTTATTCCCTCCACATCATTTTGTTGCTGCTACCCGGTTGTGCAACTGCTGCGGTGTCCCCGTATCTCATCACAGGCTCACCTTGCTACCTAAATGCCCGGCCAATGTATACCCGGCTGTCATGTGATCCCTTTCTCGCCAGCAGAGCATTGTTCTCAAAGTCTCAAAGCATGACTATGCTCTCTGGCTTCTGTTTTGGTGTTGCACTATCACTAGCACCTTCCAACCTTATTATTTTGTCAAGCAGAATGGTGCGACCATATGGAAGCACACTCTCCTAACATTCCGGCTCCACTGAGTGTACAGTGCTACGCTGCTACATGCATTATGCTGACTGAATACCTTTTCGTTCCGTGGCATCAAGTAAAGGAAGTAGTTACCTGAAGTACTCCCTTGCATCATAGGATTGGCCCCACGATGTCAAACAGCAGTCAACAAAATCCCGCAATCTTTTGGGGAAGTGTCAAGCCAAACATCTTTGCAGCGATCTTGTCTCACAGCCGGACAACTACAGCAGTCATATGATTGTCGTAGGGGAATGGTTCATACGACCCAAGTTAAGAATGGGAGCATCGGAACATGCAAGAAGGGGCCTGAACAACTAGAATAAGAATGTTTGGGTACCTTATGTAAAGTGTAGGCTTATTTCAGGAACTCTGGGGAAGGATATAAGTCATTAGTCAAAATTCCATATTGACTGTAATGTCGACCTCTTTCTGTGGGCGCTAAGCCAGTAGGAGCTCCAGAAATACATCCATGCAGGCCAAGGGCTGATCCTACCTGACATCCCGCATCATTTCTCGGTGCATTTTTAAAATGTACACTTACAGATTTAGGGTTTACTGTTTTCTTTTTTTGGCGTATCTGAGCATCTTCGAGCATGGAGCGTGTACCATTGAAGCAGTGACCAACACCAACGCCTCGTCAACTGGCATGCGGCCGGAGGTCAGAGAAGCAGGGATGCAGGGTCTTTAGAAAGTCACAGGAAGGAACCCTGAACCCGAATCCCTGATTACTCAACCCTGAACCCTAAACCTCAAATCCTAAGCCCTATAAATTAGTCCCTTGACGCTTAAAACACTCCAAATCCTGAGCGCTATCCGCTACTGTATAGGTCCTCAAGCCCTTATAACCCTAAACCCTAAACACTCAAACCCTAAAACCCTAAAGCCCTAAACCCTAAACCCTAAACCCTAAAACCCTAAAACCCTAAACCCTAAACCCTAAACCCCAGGCCCCTTTTAGACTCCCAAGAGCTCCGAGCCTGATGTTGCAGGCGGGGGAGCTGCACCTGCGAAAGGTTTACAGTTTGTGGCCCGAGGGCTCATTCAGGTTTCCGGGTATGCGTGTTTTTTTTTTTGAGGGCCTTTTTTCAACTGCGCTAGTCTCTAGCCGTCAGGTATGCGGGTTTAGGAGTTAGGGGTTCAATTTAGGAATCTGATCAAGAAGCCCTGGGTTTAGAGGTTTAGAGTTGGGCCTGAGGTTTAGGGGTTCAGCCCTGGGTTCAGGGGTTGGGGTTTAGGGCTTAGATACCCTAAACCCTAAACCCCATCGTTTAGAATCCTAAGCTTTAGATACCCTAAACCCTAAACCCCATCGTTTAGAATCCTAAACTTTAGAACCCTAAACCCTAAACCCCAACGTTTAGAATCCTAAACTTTAGAACCCTAAACCCTAAACCCCAACGTTTAGAATCCTAAACTTTAGAACCCTAAACCCTAAACCCCAACGTTTAGAATCCTAGACTTTAGAACCCTAAACCCTAAACCCCAACGTTTAGAATCCTAGACTTTAGAACCCTAGACCCTAAACCCCAACGTTTAGAATCCTAGACTTTAGAACCCTAAACCCTAAACCCCAACGTTTAGAATCCTAAACTTTAGAACAATAGACCCTAAACCCCAACGTTTAGAATCCTAGACTTTAGAACCCTAGACCCTAAACCCCAACGTTTAGAATCCTAGACTTTAGAACCCTAGACCCTAAACCCCAACGTTTAGAATCCTAAACTTTAGAACCCTAGACCCTAAACCCCAACGTTTAGAATCCTAGACTTTAGAACCCTAGACCCTAAACCCCAACGTTTAGAATCCTAAACTTTAGAACCATAGACCCTAAACCCCAACGTTTAGAATCCTAGACTTTAGAACCCTAGACCCTAAACCCCAACGTTTAGAATCCTAAACTTTAGAACCCTAGACCCTAAACCCCAACGTTTAGAATCCTAGACTTTAGAACCCTAAACCCTAAACCCCAACGTTTAGAATCCTAGACTTTAGAACCCTAGACCCTAAACCCCAACGTTTAGAATCCTAGACTTTAGAACCATAGACCCTAAACCCCAACGTTTAGAATCCTAGACTTTAGAACCATAGACCCTAAACCCCAACGTTTAGAATCCTAAACTTTAGAACCCTAGACCCTAAACCCCAACGTTTAGAATCCTAGACTTTAGAACCCTAAACCCTAAACCCCAACGTTTAGAATCCTAAACTTTAGAACAATAGACCCTAAACCCCAACGTTTAGAATCCTAGACTTTAGAACCATAGACCCTAAACCCCAACGTTTAGAATCCTAGACTTTAGAACCCTAGACCCTAAACCCCAACGTTTAGAATCCTAAACTTTAGAACCCTAGACCCTAAACCCCAACGTTTAGAATCCTAGACTTTAGAACCCTAAACCCTAAACCCCAACGTTTAGAATCCTAAACTTTAGAACCATAGACCCTAAACCCCAACGTTTAGAATCCTAAACTTTAGAACCATAGACCCTAAACCCCAACGTTTAGAATCCTAGACTTTAGAACCCTAAACCCTAAACCCCAACGTTTAGAATCCTAAACTTTAGAACCATAGACCCTAAACCCCAACGTTTAGAATCCTAGACTTTAGAACCATAGACCCTAAACCCCAACGTTTAGAATCCTAGACTTTAGAACCCTAAACCCTAAACCCCAACGTTTAGAATCCTAAACTTTAGAACCATAGACCCTAAACCCCAACGTTTAGAATCCTAGACTTTAGATACCCTAAACCCTGGCCCTAAACTCTAAGGCCCTAAGGGCTTCGGGCTCGGGGGTGCAGCCTCAGACCCGAGTTGCAACCTGAGCAAAGGAGGCCTCAAAGGATGTTGCAGCATGCCTCGCGGAACCGCCTGGGAAGTCCATGGGTTCGGGGTATTAGGGTCATTAGGGTTTTGGGTGTTAGCGTTGGGGGGTTTGGGGTTTCAGGGTTTTAGACTTCGGGGGATTGGTTGGCGTTCAACATCCCTTTGCGGTGTGCCTGCTTGTCTATCATGCCGGACAGCCACATGGCAACGAGAAAAATACTTGCCACAATAACGACAACAGCAATCGCTAGAACCGCAGCAACAATGCTGAGCAAAATGGCTAAGAGCAAGAAGGCATGACAGCCAATGCTAGACTTGGCAGTTTCGAGCGAGGGGGGTGGAGAGGTGGGTACCCGTATGATGCGGTTGCTGAACCGAGAGGAAAAAGTCGGAAAGGGCGGAAAAAAGTTAGATTGATGGCGCACAATGAACCACACACGAGACGTAAGCATTGAATCACCAGCACGACGTTTACGAACATGCGAAAAAGCACGTGGCCGTACCGAAATCATCTGACTTCAGCTTTCAGCATGTCTGCTCATAGCTCAAGACATGCTGTGAGGGGCTTCAACGCCTAGTATCGGACCTTCCGTGTAGAAGGGGCAGATCTCGAATCAATTCAGCCCTGTAGAATGCGAAAATAAGACCCAGCCCCGACCATGGATTCTGAAGGGAAACGGTCTACTAGTTCATTGTTGAGATAGGATTAAAAATCTACATTTTTATTCCTTGTTGGGTTTAAGTACCCATAAAAGTGTAAAATGTTACCCAACAATGACAAAGTCTAGCACAACTACATAAGGGCTAGAAAAGGCAATGCTAAACTACATATTCACGGCCTTTGTTTCATATAGTATGAGGCATACTTATAAACAACTAAACATATGTAAGGACTGCAAAGGACTTGTTATTACAATCATAGTTCTTATGCTCCCAAATCGAGGAAAACTCGGCCTTCTGCCGCGCCACTTCTTTGAGTTGCAAAAATCGACTCCTGTATGGGCGACGGGGATGCATTACAAAGGGGTCTAGCGCTCACGGTTGGGGCTCAGGGTTTGGAGTTGGGGTTTGGGATGTATGCAATCGGTCATGCGGACTGTCACGAAGCGAGACATCTGGCGACGAAACGGATGCCAATTAAGAATTAACTGGAGTTAGCCATCACTTGCCTGTCTGCGGGCACGGCGATGGATTTAGGGTTCAGGGTTTACTTGAAGAAGGCCCTTACATTGACTCATATGATGCCAGGGAATTTCTTTGGAAGTTCTGTTGAATCGAGGGGTCCCCGGATATCTGGTTCGACTACGCAGTTCAGGGTTTCGGCAGTTGAGGAACTACGGTTAGCGCTGAACCGCAAAACATGACTTAGAGCGGACTGCTCCCACTGCGCAAGAGCAGGTCAGTAAGATCGATAGAGCTTTCAAGACTCAGAACTGCAAGCAAAACCCATCCTTAGCCTCAGGAAGAGCACTTCCGTGCAAAATCAAACCTCGGCGTCTTTCCCAACGCCCAGAACCTCCGATCTCTTAGCAGTACCCTACTTGGAAGGGCAGGGGACTTAGTAAGTAGGTTATAAGTAGAGTTATAAGTACCCAAATGGAGTTACCCCAATTATAATCCTACTTATAAGCTACTTACTAAGTCCCCTGCCCTTCCAAGTAAACCCTCAACCGTGAACTGAATGCCATGTAGCCTAGAGCACCACTCCACAAAACATGCGCGGACCAGCTCCCTGCGGCCATATATGGACACCAAAACCCCAACGACCGGTTGATCCTACTCACCCAGTCCTTCGGAACAGCTGAAAAACTCCACAAACTTCAACAACTCCCAAACCTGTAAAAACAACCTTAAAACCCCTAGACATTTAAAACTGAAAACCCTCCAAACCCTCAAACTTCTCAAGGCCAACCCGTCCACCCACCACCCTTGGACTCAAAATAGCGCAAGAGCCTCATGTACTTAAAGACGCATGGGCCTGCGGATCCGAAATCACAAACAGTCTAAAACCCTAAACCCTAAACCTGAAGGCCCCAAAAAGCCTAAGCCCTAAACTCCTTACCCGTTCAAAAGTGATAGCTCTCTAAATTAAGGTCTTTTCGCAGGTCACCCGAATAGTACGTACGGCTCCCTGAAAAAAAGGGCCCGGAAACGGACCCCAATTTAGAGAGCTACCCGAAAGCCAACGACGCTCTTTGTTGGACGCCGGACCTCCGGCTCCAGATTGAAATCTCGCACGGGAGGTACCGAACGATGGGAAAGGCCAGAGTCCCCTTTGGGGCTTCCTGTCTGCTTTTTTTTGCTTTTGGAGCTCCCTTTTTTCTGCAAAGTCTGCGTAAGGTTTAACGTTTGTGTGTTTGCGCAGCTTGTCGGATTTGAAGGGGGGTTGCCTGCCCTTTGTCCAGTTTTCGGTTTCCTAGCAGTTTAGGTTTGGGGATGTCTTGTGGTGTTCAGGACGGCTTTCAGAACTTTAAGGTTTAACGTTGAAAGTTGCTTCCGGCTTTTATGGGATGAGGGTCTAGGCTTCCTTGTCATCGCATGAACAGTGCTGGTACTGGCAGTGTGTGCACAGAAAAGAGGTCGCGATTGTTATGCTGATCTTGCCACGGATTCCGATAGTATTATCTGTACATGTAGATGTGTCTGTGTATGCGCGTATTAAACATATATATATATATATATACATATATATATATATATCACGCACGTATCATGTATGTACCCTTATATCACACCATTGTCTTGTATGTTCGAAATGCTATTACCTAATGCTGATCTCAGATGGGCTCCAACAGCTCCAACCCCTAAAGCCTAAGCCCTAAACCCCTAAACCCTAAACTCCAAGACCCTCAACCCTGAACCTGAACCTGAACCCTGAAACCCCCCCCCCCCCCCCCCGCCACCCAAGACAGGTCGGATGTAGGATCCTTATACTGCGAATCACTGCAACCCTTAAAGAAAACCCAAGCCGCTGGATCCCCATGATATCTGTATATAAATACACATATTGAGCTATATGCAACTGTACAGATTATAAAGAGTTCCACCAATTTAGGCAGAATTATAGGATGTGGTGTATAACTTTCTTTTCATGTCAAGAAAACAAATCAACAACGCCAAATACCTGGTATATATATATATATATGTACATACACATGTTACATATGCAAATACATACTTATGCATATTACATTGTACATGTTGTAAACATGTGTGTGTATGTGTGTATATATATATATGTATATATATAGAGGCACACATTCTAGCTTTTCCAAATTCTTTTTTCGCCAACACAGAAAATGACTTAATGAAGTAATTTGTCCTCTTGCTGCAAACTTTGGCACCCCTGCCTGGCATGGGCAGAAGGAGCGGGGGATGGCGCAGAGCGACTCCAAACTGATATCCAGGATGGGGCGAAATTTGCCGGTCGAAGTCGTCGTCCGCAACCGACTCCAAAGGTGAGGCCAAGGATTCCAGGGTGTTCGAGGGTCCGAAGGAGTGTCTTTGAGCAACATATCGAGGCTGCGGCTTTTGCTGCGGGCTTCGGGCAGGGCCAGGCACGGCTGTAACAAGCATTGGGCATTCCACAAGTCTCGCAGAAGCCCGGTCTGGCGTAGAAGACCTCCGCTCCGCCGAAGGTGGTCGGGGCGAGATCACCAGCTCGCCATGGACTTTCGAGTCTCCGGTGACCACCTCCAATCCGTGCACCTCAAGCCCTGGCAATGTGCCCGTAGTCTGGGGTCGGGAATTTGGGAGTGGGAAGGTTGGGGACTCCATGAGAGTTCGTGCCGCCTGCTTCCGGCCTGCGTGGCGTCGCGGGCCCCGGCGCGCGCCTCGTGGGGTGGGTACTGTAGAAGGCCTTGGAGCAGTTCCGCTTTCCTGGTAGGTCAAGGCAGCTCTAAGATCTTCGCGCTTTGGCACTGGCCTTCCACCATTTGCATCTGGCTTCCATAAGATCTGAGGCTCAAAGACGGGTCCCGTTGGAAACCTGGCCTTCCGATGTTGCTGCTTCTTCCTCTTTCCCAAAACGGTTTTGTCCGCAAACTCGGCCAACTTAGCAGCTCGAACCGCAGCGGCAGCTGCAACGGCTGCCACGGCCTCGGCGTCATCATGCTCCTTGGGCTCTTTCGCATCAGCATCTGCCGGGCTCTCCTGGTACAGGTTATTATGTAAGACAAGTCGACACAAGCACATGAGGGCTTCTCTAAGTTAGGTTCCTCATTTCGGGCCCTTTGTTCTATCCGTGTTGACATGGTTGGGCGACTCGCCAGGAACTCTAATTTAGAGGCACCCCAGATTCCCCAGATGTATCGCTCTGAACTTCCTTTCTAACGCAGCGTCTGGTTTCTGGCAGCGGCGAGAAGAGACTGAAAAGCAACATGCATAATATAGGGGCCTTAACAATAGGAATAGGGTTTTGGGGGCTCAAAATTCTATAGTTATAATATGGGGGGGGAACCCCACAATAGTATAGGCAGCTACGAAGGCCCCTATGTTAGACCGACGGACATGAATGACATGAACATTTGTCGGCCCCTCTGTCCCGAGGTTAGTGCTGCATGCATGATTCACATCAGGACGGCCTGAATGTTCGTGAACAAGCCCTGCTCCCGAATCGCTGCATGGTGAATCGCAGCCCTCCAATCTTAACTTCCTAAACACTAACATTAAGCCATTGTGGGCAAACGCCTCGACAGCTTGTAGGGTTTGCCCTCGACCCTCACACCATTAGCCCTACGACCACACAGCCTAGACCCGAACAAACACATATGCCAACGTCAGCTCAGACACCTGATGAAAATCTGCCTCGCCTTCTTCAAAAGTTTCCACCTGTCGGCCCCGACCAGTCTTTTGCTTCCGCAAGAGTTCGCGCTTAGCGGCTTAGTGATTCATGGGAAGACGGCTAAGAGCCGTGGGATGTTGAGATTGTGGTTTGGATATGGCATCTAAAGCGTATAGCCGTTTGCCACTTCCGTCACTGCTAGTGCTCGTGACATGAATACTATAGTGACTTAGTGTCATGTTAATGCTGTTGATGCTGCTCAAGCATGGTGCAGCTTGTCTTCGAGATGTTGCTGTTGCTGTTGCTGCTGGACTATTGCTGTACTCTAACAAAATACGACTTCCAGAAACAGTTTCAGCAGTGGCGTCGCGGTAGGTGATGGCAGTGGTTGCGGTCGCGGCCGTGCCCGTCGTCGAGGTCGACATCGCGATCGTTGCTGTGGTGCTGGTGGTGGTGGTGGTGGTGGTGGTGGTGGTGGGGGTGGTGGTGGGGGTGGTGGCGGTGGCGGTGGCGGTGGCGGTGGCGGTGGCGGTGGCGGTGGCGGTGGCGGCGGTGGTGGTCGTAGTAGTAGTCGTAGTAGTCGTAGTAGTCGTAGTAGTCGTGGTGGTAGTAGTAGTAGTAGTAGCAGTCGTGGGAGTAGTAGTAGTAGTAGTAGTAGTAGTAGTAGTAGTAGTAGTAGTAGTAGTAGTAGTAGTCGTAGTAGTAGCAGTAGTCGTAGTAGTAGTAGTAGTAGTAGTAGTTGTAGTAGTAGCAGTAGTAGTAGTAGTAGTACTAGTAGTAGTAGTAGTAGTAGTAGTAGTAGTAGAAGTAGTAGTAGTCGTCGTAGTAGTAGTAGTAGTCGTGGTAGTAGTAGTAGTAGTAGTAGTAGTAGTAGTAGTAGTAGTAGTAGTAGTAGTAGTCGTAGTAGTCGTAGTAGTCGTAGTAGTAGTCGTAGTAGTAGTCGTAGTAGTAGTCGTAGTAGTAGTAGTAGTAGCAGTAGTGGGAGCCCGGTCAAACTTTCGTATACCAGTATAGTTTATGAGACCAACAAGTTGCAAGTTTTCCCATTGGCTGTCTAAGCAGAGAGCCACATTGGATAAGTAAGTAAAACTCAAATCATGGGCCGCTCTGATGTACATTATAGCTGGAAGTTGTCACGTCGACAGTCTTTTGCAATCGCTGTCGGTCGAGGGTACTGCCTAAAAATCCCAAGACGCTCGCGCTCATCGACCGAGCAGTGCAAACAAAGCTCCTGCAAAGCGACAGCCACCCTTGCCTTGAAAGACAAAGGCTCGGCGCGGAGAAGAGGTTGTGAGACATCCAGCTCATGCAGCAGCTCCTGGTCAAGAAAGGGCCGCGCTAAACTTAGACCGAGGCTCTGTTAGGTTCAAGAATGCAAAGCCGGCCGAGAACGGGTGGCAGCAGCAGCCACGGGCAGGCACAAAGTAGAAACCGGGGAAGCGCAAACGTCATCAGCAGCAGCAGCAGCGGTGCCAGTAACCGAAGTGCAGTAGCGGCCACGTCTGTACACTATTCCTTGCTGCGTAACCTTCATTATCATTTCTAACTGTAATCATGATTATTATGGCTATCTGCTACTACTTGCTTTGACCATCCCTGTTATTCGTAGCATGACTGCTGAAAGTGCAAAATGCTGCTTGCAATCACACGGCCTCCATAGCAGCTAAAGCGTTCGCCTGCTTTTTCGATGCGTCACCGAGAGCCGCAATGCTGCGAATCGGTGGTTCAACTAAGAGCTTCAAGCTGATGCACGCATGTACCGCATGAGCTAACAGGTCAGGCTTCACTCGCAACATTGACACCGGTATAACCATCTCTCTGACCTGTTCGCTTTGACGGATTTCTGCGTTTCAGCGAGCTTTCGTGAAACAACAATCCTCGGGTGAGCTGCTCTCGTATGTCACTACCTCTACCGGCCTTCGTGAAGCCATCCGCTAACTGACATCTGGTAGGAACCCAGAGCAGCCTGGCTTTCCCGGGATTTTCACGACCTCTGGTCGTCAGCAGCTGTCTCAAAAGAACAGCGTGAACAATGTTCCCTTTCTCCCCAACGTGTTGGCCATCTTTATGAATCGTGTCATAAATGCTTCTACAGTCGGTGACCAACGTGACTGGGGCTAGCTGCTGCCATCCATCGTCTTCGATAGCAGAGATGACTTGGGATCCATATCGTATCTCGCTGAGAAGAACCTGCGCGAACCTAGACATGTTATGTCCCATGATGGCCGCATGCGTCTCTGCCGCAAAAGATGATTCGACGACTCTCCGATTTGTAGAGGACTTCCAATCAATCAAGTTCATATGGACATGCTGTTCGTGATCAGTAGCCCCCTTTCGAACGAAGCCGATGCAGGCACCTTTCTGAGAGTACACAAGTCGTTTCTCATTTCCTCTTTGCAAGATGTCCTCACACTCTCTCTCATCGATCTCAACTCCGAGACTACTGTATAATCCCGCGTCGTGATAAGTCACCAACTCGGCATCTTCTCCAAGAGGCCGGAACTCAATCTCCAAACGGTTCCTGACGACTTCTCTGACAGCCTTGTTTGCACGGATAAGATCAGCCACCCGAAGATCGGATATTCTTTTCTGGAGTTGGTTACACTCAAAAGCAACATCGGGTCTCGATTGAACCGCCAACCATTGAAGACTACCAACCACAGATCTATAATCCGTCTTCTCCACATCCGTGGCGCGTGCATCGGGCTGTCGCACTCTCTCGTTGCTCAATGACATGGGCTGAAGTCGTCCATCAATGAAAGCATTCTGGCTGAGGACAACGCTAATTTCTCCATCCCTGTTCCTGATCTTGATCTCCTTCCCACAATAGGTGATGCCGCTCTCCTGTTCAGCAACCTTCATCCAAGTACCAAACGGAAATCTATCATGAACCTTGGTGGCAACTTCATGTCCCCAGGCCGATCCGTCATGACAAAACATAACATCATCGACATGGACAATCATGATACCTCGAAGAGTTCCCTTAGCGTCTCGAAGCATAAACATGGCAGGGTCAACCATACACTTCGTGAAACCAAGTTCTTGTTGAAGGATGCGCGACAACTCTTCGTACCACGCTCGTGGTGCGTCTGGTCTTCCGTAAACTGGTTTCAACAATCTGATAATCTGCCCTGGGCTCATTCCCTTGAGTCCTTGTTTTGGTTGTCTCATGAACATCTCGGGCTTATCCTTCAGAGGAGCTCCCTGCAAGAAGGCATTAGAGATGTCACCTACAAACCAGTTCTGAGACCATCCAAGGCTCGTCACAAGATGCGGAAATATCATGGTGGAAACACGCTCGATGGTCGGACTATCGACTTGCACAAGACCAGTCTTACTATCAGGACATAAATGCCCCTGCAGACACAGTCGAGCTTTAGCTTTAACCGGCATCGGCCGACCGTCCGGCCCAAGGAGCCCGGCATTCTTGTCCCGAAAGACATACCGGCTCGGAAGAATCCTTTCTGGCCGCTCTCTCTCAATCTTACGGCTTTCTTCCAATGACAGAATCTCACAACTCTCGTAGTCAAGCCAAGACTTCCACTCCTTGTCCTCGGCGGCCTTGTAGATCTCCCTTTGTTCTGGCGGAATGCAATCGTACGGGATTTCTTTCTCCATCATTCTCTTCAACTTAGTCTTACTCTCAGTTTTCTTGAACGTAACTGCATGAACTGGGGCTTCTCCAACCTGACGTCGCTGGCGTTTGACATTTTGAGGAACATCATCCAGACACATCTCTTTCCGCGTTCGGTTTTGAAAGATTGTGATCAGTCCCGCCGCAGGTCCTCCAGGAATGAACTGATGATGATCCTCCAGCTCTGCCCATTTGACCTCCTTTTCAAGACACTTCCACTGTCCTTGATGACATGCCCATGTCGTTCTGTACGGAAAACGCTCTCCGGGGTACCTTGGCTCGGGGCTCCTGAAAGCCCACACTTTGTGTGATATCAATACAGGATTTCCATTTTGATCAACATGCCATCCAACCTGCGGAACCATGTTGGCATGCTCAGCGCTCAAACCTTCCGTCTCCATAGCATCCACCTCCATATCAAGACCTTCAGTCAAGTCCTCTGCTAATGGTTGTTGTTCAACTTCATCTGGTTCACCCTCGGGGCCCTTTTGTCCTACCAAATCCTCATAGGTAGCCTCTGAAGGGATCTTCCGAAAAAGAGCTATAGCCTTCTGAATCTCAGGATTCCCAAAGTGCTTCTCATCCCCAACAGCTTCGCGAAGATGTTCGCCCGCGACGAGAAAACTCCGGCCTCCAATGGTGACCCAGGCATTCTTATCCTGAATCCCCACCACATATCCAGGACCGTGCCATGAACTGTGATTATCTCCTCTCTTCCCACGCGCCTCTCTCCAAAAGAACACCAGCTGTCCTATCTTGAGGATGGGAATCTTCCGAGTCCGATTATGGGCGGTTCTAAGAAGCATCTGGCGAGCCTGACTCCGAATGAACTCCATCTTAGCATGATACCTGTATCGCATGCGAATTGCCACATCACTGCCAGCCTCTCCTACTGAAGGATGGTATCCCGCTGGGTTTCCGTCCTGATGGAGTTCTCCGAAGACTCTGGGCTCCCTTCCGAACACCAGTGCAACTGGGGCCCATCCATGCTCGCGTGTCAAGGAATTCTTGGCCCAGCTCACTTCCCTAGTCAATCGGCGCATTTCGTCTCTACCGACAGCATTGGTATGTCTAACGACATTGAATATCATATCCTTGACAATCTGATTATGTCGTTCAACCTTCCCTGCCTGCCAGTGAGCTGTGCCTGCAATCGCAGTCAAGCATGTGCCCGCCTGAGACACCTGTTCCCAGAACTCGCGGCCCTGAAATCCACCTTCCATGTCAACCGTAGCCCTAATCGGCGGTCCAGCCCAACGTGCCCAGCCCCGGTCAAATGCCCGGTACAATTCTTCAGGTGAGTGATCTCGGAGAATTTCCACGATATGATAAGAAGTAGCCCGATCGATAACCGACAAGAACCAATACGCTTGTTTGTTACTATCATGGACACATATGCAATCCAATTGAACTTCATCTCCGAAAGTCACCTGACATGGTGGGATGTTCGTGGTGCGATGCGTGCCGGGACGTCTAGCATGTGCGCACGTCATACACTTCATCCAGGAAACAGCCTCTAAGACCTCCTGTTTAGCACCTCCAAGCTTCAGGAATCGACTGAAGTCTTCTTTGCTAGGATGTCCCAGATTGCAATGGGCTTTGATAAGCCCCTGTCTCACCGCCTCGCTCACTCTTCTTCCGGCAGGAACCTCAAACGTTATGCCATGGCTACCCAAACTCTTCCGAACATGTTCCACTGGTGGCGTTCCGGAGCCTGCCTCTTCAGCTTCACGCGTCCTTATCTGTTCAGGCTCCTGAATATCAGGAATCATTTCTTCGTCGGTATCGTCGGGTTGATCCACAGCATACACCGCACTGGCACTCCATCGATTCAAAGCTTTCATGATGCTCTTTTCGCTCCATCGAAGATCTGACATTTGGCGATCACCCTTCCTGAGCTTTCCCCGAATTTGCGCAGCGAGGCTCCTGAGCATCCTCCTAAGCCTGTCTGGCTCATGTTCCTTAATGTACCTCGTGAAGCCTCGACACACAGCCTTGGCTACCGCAGCCTTTCCTCGGTCGCCGTCACAAGCACTCTTGTTGTTCACTCTCTCATCTCTGATGTCAATAAGCTCTCTTTCTATGAACTCACAAGTAGTCAACCATCCTGAGCGAGCATCTCGGCTACCGTTTCGTGAATATCCTGGGACATGTTTCACATGAGGGTGTTTGATCATGGTGTCGCAGAGAACAGCAACCTCAGGCGTGGCGTGAAGAGCAAGTTCAACAAGTGCTTGGTCACCCCGTTTAATCTGCACATCGACAACATGTTTCAGGAACTCACATACTGGTTTCACTCGGTCCTCTCTCTTGCGCTGTCGCCTCAGAGCCTGCGATTCCTTCACGCCGATTCTACCTACCGACGCGATCCGAGGGCAGCAATCAGATACGATGACCAGGCGAGGCGCCGACTCCTCAATCCAGCGACCGATAGTGTCTCGACTTCTATCGTCACAGAGGTCACTAGGCAATTGAACTGGTTCCACATGTCGCCAACCCCAACGGGAGAAAGAGCTAGTGAAGCTAGCTTCATGGCCGCATATCTCAAGCACGTCGGGCCTCATTCTGGAAAAATTTGGTACCGCACTAGCCGCAGCCCCGACTAGCGCTGCCGTCGTGACAAACACTCCAGCAACAATTGCCCGAGCATTTCCCAACAACCTCTTCATGACACCTTTCTTCAGCATCTTCCTACGGGCCCTACCGTGAAGAATCCTCTCTTCGACCTCACCTGGTGACAAAGGCTGTCGGGAAACTGGTTCATCACTCGGCGGCTTGATATCCACTGACGTCATAGCTACTCCAAAGCAGTTTTCACCGCTCAATCCTCGGGATTGTTCTCCTTCTTGGCGATGGGAGGCGCTGGATCCTTGGGGTAGCCGCGATTCTTGTCCCTCATGGCCACGATCATCGCCATCTCCTCCTTCGTGCGGTTCGTGTTGTACTTCTTCTCCTTTTCCTCGTCCGAGGATGTCACTTCCTCGATCGGGATGGACCCTGCAACCGCCCACGAGCCATCGGAGGAGGCTGTTGCCCTGCCGATTTCTCCCACTCGCTTGCTCTTGGCTGCCTGCTTGGCCACAATCTTCCTGTGATGCTCCTTGGCCTTGTTGATCTTCTCGTTGGTCTCGAGCTCCTTCTGGACCTCGCCCGTCGGGCGTCCGTCGTAACGAAGAGGAAGAGTCTGCTTGCATGCCGGGTATCGACGACACCCGTAAAAGTCCTCGCGAGTCAGCCTGTTGGTCCTGACCATCATCGGTATGCCACACTGGGCACAGAGAGGCTCTGTGCACGTCATCTCCAAGTCGCGATCCCTTTGAAGTTCCTCGGCTGCTTCCACAGCCCAAACCTCTATCTCCAAGATCAAGGTCGGCTTGGACCAACGGTCCCAGTGAAGATCGCTGTCTCGCCCCAAGTCCGGCACCACCTGAGTCGCGTAGATGTGCTTCAGGGCTGAGCGATCCAATTTCTTCCAGTTGGCTGGAAGTCCCGTGGCATTTTTCTTCGGAGGGCGAATGGCCCCCCACAGCTCCTTCAACCGATCGAGGTTGTGCTCTCGCAGGGCCTCCTTCGTCACTTTGCAACGCGGCGCAATCGCCGCCACAAACTCTTCCTTGCGCTGCGGCGCCAACATCGCCATCTCGTGAGCAATCGACTGAAGGGTTACCCTGAACTGAAGTAGCGATCTCGCCGCACTCTTCAAGCCGCTGCGGAGTATTTGCGCATTCCATGCCATGTGACACGTCGTCTATTTGTTGATGCGGCTCTCGGTGGAACGACATGTCGTGAACTGTATGCACTGCATCACCCAAAGTCCTGGAAGTTCCCCTTGAGCTCAAGGGAAAACGAAGCTTCTTCAATGCTTTCTTTGTGTCTTCATCAACCTGATCAGCTTTTCTCACGGTGTACATGGAGAGACACCATCGCTCATCAGTCCAATCATGAGTTGCATGGGGAACTTGAGGATTGAACATGTGCGGAGACTCACGAGTGGAGATCAGAGTGCCGGGGATTGTCCTTCCATATCTATCTTGCTTCCACATACAATCTTGACCTTCACTCTCTGATTGAGCCACCCACAGCTGTCCTCCCGTGAAATCGCCGAAGGTCACAGTCACCGAGGAAGCCTCCTTGTGATTGCGACAATCCACATGTACATCGGTGCTAAGGTTCTTGGCGAGACTGAACGAAGACCATGCTCCATCAATCTTGTCTCGCATGAAGCTATTGATATACCGGACCACATGTGGATAACGACACGTCCTCTTAGTGACCCCAGAGTAGTTGCCATGCACGAACAGACCAGCAACCCATGCTTCATTCAGCGGTCCTGGCTTCCCGTTGATTTCCCGATGTCGCGCTCGCCGGTGGATGGGGAGCATCCTGACGAGCTCAAGAAGTGATTGGTAGCGAAAATCACATTCTCGGTAAAGCTTTCGCGCCCGATCTTCACATCGATCAACGACTTCCCTAGTAGTCCGCGCCTGTTCGCCATCCATCGCTTGTGGGTGGATCTTCTGGATCATCATGACCTGATCGCCGGGAACATCGTCTTCCAAAGCTATTTCTTGGTCACTCTCGATCAAAGCTTGTGGTGGCGCTTCCAACCTGCGTCCCGACCGCTCAAGGTTGATCTCGAAGCCACATAGACCCGTTTTGGTCTCCCTGAGTGGCACTTGAGTCTGCAACTCCCGAAGGACAATAACACTCTTTTCAAAGTCCATGACCATCCCCAGCATCTTCAAAGCAGTCTTGCTCAAAAGAAGAGGCACATCCTGGTCGACAATACTCACACGTACCCACGCAAGTTTCGATGCCCCGTGGACTACCAAAGGCATGATCACCGCATACTCGGACATGACTCTTGGACCTCCACCGAACCTGAAAGGGCGAGCCTCGTCGATCACGAAGACATCTTCTCCCCGTCCCCGAAGGTATCGGAGATGCCTCTGGGCCCATTTCCTGCCGGCGACAGTCCTGGCACAACAAGTGTCACTCAATGCAAGACGGTTGCGATCAGGTTCTCCCCCATTGCTATACACATGATGCGGTGGAGCCTGGTTGGCATGAACATCACATTGCTCCGTGCCATCGTAGATGGTCGTGGAGTGGAAGATTGACGAAGCTGGAGGATCAAGGATGTCATCCTCAGAATCGCTCAACTCCTCTTCGACCACCACCAACACACTCTTCTCTCTGTGCCGGTCCTTGTCAGCACCACCGCCCTTCCGGAAGGGGCATTCAGCGTCGCCATGCCAATGGCCGTAGACTGTACGACCATTAGCCTTGCAAGCGCTGCAGGGCATACGGCTTTTCATCTCTTTGATCCTGGCTTCTCTCGCTGCCCCCGTCTCTGGCTTGGAAAACCCGCGAGCACGTTCTATTTCCGCACGTTTGCGAGCTGCTTGAGCAAGTAGAACCTCTAGTTCACCTTCAAGTTCCTCCGGTCCCACCTCATCAGCTTCTCCGTCATCTTGATCTGGGGCGTCCTCGGCCTCTTCGGTGGTAGCATTCACCTGTCGCGGCTGATTGCTTCGAGGCTTCCATTGTCGATTGAAAGGCCTGGCAGTTGAAGATCCATGTTCCTCGTCCTTCTTGACTTTCGGGACGATTGCCATCAAGGCCTTCCTCAACTTAGGATAGTCGTACTCACCGCTGGCAGCTGCTACCACCTGCTTCCTCAACTCGCTTGATAATCCAGATTTCTCAAGAAACCAATACGCAACGTTGAGACCCTCAAGCTTGGCGCCCACTTCTTCAAGCCGCTTAAGATGCGCGCGAAACTTCATGTCGAACTCTACAAACTCTTCCCCCGGGCTTCTCCTGAAATCCTTGTAGAACTCGGCCAGGGTGGTGAACGTCCGCAAGTGTTCCAAAGGTTCGAGCTCCTGCCACAAATGGTCGAGTAATCTCTGCACCCCGCTCGGGTGCTTGAGGTCCTCGAGGTCGAGGCTTTCGGTAGCCATCCACGCTTGGCCACTCAACTTCTCCATGAGCTTCTGAGCCCTGTACGATGGATCAATCCCTGTGGAGCTCTCAAACAGTTTGACCCTCCGGGCATACTCCCGCATTGCAGTCTTACCGTCATACTCAGGCACATGATCTTTACCTGTCTTTGGCACTCCCTTGGTCGATCCACTACCTGCGTCGCTTGACTCTTTAGGTTCATCCGTAGGATCAAGACTCTCATCGGTGATGGTAGTCGACTGAGCTGAAGCCCTCCGGTGGCCTCCATCCGGCGGATCATGCTGCTCGGCTTCGCGAGCTCCATTGCCGTCATCTCCCGCTGCTGGTGCACCATGTTGTTCTGGTTGATAGCCTGGCCAGTTGGACCACCAACTAGTATTCCTAGCATGAGGTCTCTCCCATTGACTCTGCCACCAACCACCGCTGCTCCACGATGAACTATCGCTACTCGCATACCAAGGCCACTCTTGCCATTGCCATCCGCCTTGCCAAGTGCTGTCATGACCCCAGCTACGAGGGTCAGCATCGCCGCTGCTCGAGGGCGCCGTTGCCGCGGCACCTGCATGCTGCTGCATCCCTGCTCCGCCTGCCAATGCAAAATGCTGCTTGCAATCACACGGCCTCCATAGCAGCTAAAGCGTTCGCCTGCTTTTTCGAGCGTCACCGAGAGCCGCAATGCTGCGAATCGGTGGTTCAACTAAGAGCTTCAAGCTGATGCACGCATGTACCGCATGAGCTAACAGGTCAGGCTTCACTCGCAACATTGACAGAAAGTTCTTCCTTCCTGCATTCACCAAACTTTAACTTTCTAAACCCGAATTATTACCTAGACCCCCCAAAAGTAGGTAAAATCATGGCCCAAAACCTAGAAAAGGCTATTATTCTACATACTCTTGGGGTCCAAAACCTATAAAAGGCTATTATTCTACATACTCGTACTTTAATGGCCCAAAACCTAGAGAAGGCTATTCTTCTGCAGACTTTTGGGGTCCAGGTATTCGTCCAGAGGACTTTTGGGGTCCAGGTCTTCGCCCTCTGGACTGGTCAGGTTGGTCCCACAGGTTTCCCCCAAACCCTAAACCCTAACCCTCCATAAAAGACGGCCTCGAGGTATGCCGGAAGCTGGAAGTCCGAGTCGAGGTCCTCCTGCACTAAGGGCGGATTAGTTAGAGTTAACCTCTTCAAGGGCCTTAGGGTTTAGGGTTTAGGGCTTACCCATTCGAGCCGGATTTTGGGGCAGACTACTTTTTCCCGGGGCCGAAAGCTGACAAGATCGCCGACTATTCTCAGCCCTACATCGTTCGGGTTGGGTTGAGCTTCCAAAGCTCAGAGGTTTAGAGTCCGAAGATGAGGGCTCTTTGTTTGAGGCTCACGACTTCCCCGAAGTTTACAGGTCAGGGTGAGAGTTTAGGGTTTACAGGGTGCGGTTGAGGTTTGTGGCCTTGGGAACTATGATGCAGAGGAGCAGGAGCCTTGAAAGCCCCGAAACTGCTTCTGCTGCTCCGAACTCCTCAACCCTTGAAAATCCCTACAAAAACCCTCTCGAAACCCTAACCAAAGCCTGTGCACCTCTTAAGCCCTAAAAACTCTACGCCTTGAGCCCTACTTCTCATCTTGCCGCCTTCAGTTTGGGCATGGTAGGCTCTGCGTCCGGCAGTACCAAAGCCACTGCCATGGCGGAAACACCCGAGGCAAGGGGCCATGGACTGCACAGCGGCCAGGAAGGCTACGGGGGCGACGGCTTCGGATGTAAGGCTTTGGGGGTTTAGGGCTTCTACAGTTTAGCGTTCGGAGTTTAAGGGTCTGGGGTATGGGGCTTATATAGGTGTTGAAGGCTTTGACCTTGAAACAGTGCCTCGAAGGCTTCAAACTTGGATCACAGTGATGATCACAGTGCTTCGTGTGAAATCGCATTGTGGGTGCGGGTGCATCGCTTGCAAACTATTGCAAACTACAGCTGGTCACTTGCAGCATCTGATTTACGACATGCCACATGTGAATGTGATGGGCTACATGTGACGGGCTCCGTTGTCAGAAGCAAGCTGATTGGAGTAGAACAGGCACGAATTCGACAGTTGCGTGGCACTGTGGCTCCCAAATCCAAATTAAGTCTTCTCCGAAGGGAAACAACCTGCATGCCAGGCCCACTTTGTTGTCAGTATGCCTGGGCCATTTGCTTGACAAATGTCTTTGTACGGACACCTGGCCTGAATATTTCATGAACAAGCCCTAAACTTCAAACCTCAATTACTAAACCCTCGTCGTTTGACCCTAAGCCCCACCACTCAAACCCTGTCTAAACAGCCCACATTCTGAAATGCCCCGGGGCTCCAGCCAAAAACTTTTTGTTGCCATGCTGGGCAAAGTCTCAGACGGACAAGCATGCGCATCACAGAACCCCCGAAGCACTGAGTTGGAAAGCATGCTTTGGGCTTTCAGGTTAGGAGTCAGGGAGTCTGGTGTTGTTCGGAATGTTTGTGCTTTGGGGTCCAGGCTAAAGCTAACATTCTGGGTTTATTTTTCGGAGGGTCAGGGTTCGGTTTGACACTTATACTTATACTCATAGCCGTGACATCACAACGGAGTCTGCAATACAGCATTCACAGCGGTGTGCAGGGCATCAAGCTCCGCCGCGCAGCACTGAATGCCCTGCAGCTCTGTTGAAGCATCATCCAGGGGGGTTTGGAATAGGCTGTTGCAACGCACTATGCCACACTTGTTAAGCTGAAATGAGGAGGCCTTCTCAACGAGCAGAACCATAAAAAGACCTGCCAGGCCTGCTAGACTGCCATCTTTCTCGAAACATCATGAAAAGACCTCTACAAGCCTGCACCGGGTCGCTGTTATGAGCATTCGATCCCGAATCTCACGAGCTTTCGAGCCTATGTGCATTAGCCACCTGAGACCGAAATTGCACTACAGTTCCTATTGGGTGGCCTTCAGCTCATCTTGCATCAGCACCAAATGGCCAGGTGCGCCACCGTGCATGGTGGCCATCACCTGTATTGGCGCTCAAACGTCTAGCAGTCATGCACTATCAACAACAATAGCATGAGTGCTAGTGCTGGCAAGACTGCTACTGTTTGTATGAGCAAAATGAGCAGCAGCAATCAATACCAGAACCTTTCAACGGTTTTGCTACTAAGATACTAAAGCACTAGTTACCGGAGTTTTGCCTTTACTAGCTTCAGACTGTAGCTGAGCTGCACAGTCAAACCCACAGCCCCTTCAAGCATCCATCAGTGAATTCTCGACATCCCTGAAAAACCTGTAATATCCTGAAACCCCTTTAACGCCCTCTGTAAAGGCCTGTTAAGATCAGGTCGCGGGTGCCTTTCCACAGAATCAACATCAATGCTTTGCGAAATGAACTCGTCGACAGAATTGGATGTTCGGGGTTTGATCACGGAATCTTAGGGTTTAGCCTAGGGGAACTGCATGTTCCAATTCCAGCACGAAGTGAATAGGCAGGAGAAAGAAGTCGTCAGGAAGGGAAGGCCAGCAACAACTGGAAAGTTCAAGAGCCACTTTCGGGCCAGGTACTTCGGGCAATTTGCTACATGCCTTGCACAACCATGTCTTCGTGTGCACGTCTACGACCGGAGGAAACGGGGCACAAAGCACGAAGCTACTTCTCCCGGCTCATGTAAAACGTATGCCGTCGTCGGGTGCCAGTGCGCTTGTGATGGACTGAATGCCAGATGATGCAGGTTCTGCAGCTGAATTCAGCCTGGTTATGATCTTGGCCCTTTGTACGTCCGGTATCAACCAGTATTTGGTGTTTCGGGTCCAGGGCTCAGAAGTATGTAATACAACTGCAATCGCTTGACCGGGTGTCCTTGTCAGCGTGTAAAACAACTGCAGTCCCTCCTGTCTAGACCTGCCAGTTGCGCCTTCTGCAAGTCCTCTTTCAAGTCAGACGTGCTACCTGCATAGCACAGCCACAAAGTGGCACAAATAAGTCACACCTCTGCAGGGTTTACAGTGCAGTTTAGGCTACAGATGCAAACAAGACACCCAATACAGGGGCCTCAATAATCGGAATAGTAATTTGGGGTACATTCAACGATAAGTATACTAACTAAAGAACCCAACGAATAGTATTGGTAGCTATTCAGGCTCCTGTATTATTCAACCGCTACATCCTGGAGTCATAGGATTCCCCCTCTGGCTGGTGAAAGTAAGTGATGCTGTAGGGCCGTGTGCAAATTACCATAGGAGTTGCCTATTTTAGGTAACCATGACTAAACCTCCACTGAAGCTCCTGCATGACCTGGCGGCGCCTGGCCTTTTGAAGAAAGAGCTTTCTCGTAGAGCTCAATCCTCGGCAAGGAGGTCAAAGAATGGGCTTCCCTGTTTTAAGGATGTTTAAGGTTCAGGGCTTACGGTTCATGTAGGGTTGAGGGTTTTAGTAGAAGCTGCATAAGCAGCGGAAGAGGTTGGGATCATGCAGGCAACGACAATGAACATAATCATAATCACAACAACAAAACCAGGAAGTAGACCAACACGTGAGAGTGACGGTCAGGCGGCCAAGCATTCGGGGACTTCAGAGCAATCTGCTTCCCAAACCCCAAACCTCACTGCATACCGGGATGCATGTTGTGCACCTTCTTCATCGTGGCGTGCTGGAGTCTCAACGCCGACAGATACTGCCTTCCCGCACTCCCAATCACACCCGGAGCCTTTGTAATGACCTAATTATGACCCACATAGGTTCCTTTCGGGGTTGCTCTGATAAGGGTTCCGAGAGCGGCGCGCTTTAAGGGTTCGTATACGGATTTCATCTGGCTTCCTTTCAGGGCTCATCCAGAAGCAATCCTGGAGGGCCTGTTCATCTCTAATCGGTCGGAGCTTCGACCTGTTCAATGGGGCTCTACATGGCTTTAGAGGCCAATCCCTGTGTCAGCCGTACATGAACAGAAGTGGGAAGCAGCAACAAGCATGAACGATCCAGGATAAAGCTGTCCGAAGATACTTTGGAACGACACGACGACATGCTGTGGCTCTCTTGCGGTAAGCATGAACCATCTAAACTGGATCCCGATCTCAACAATCCCCAAAATTAGTGTTAACATGACGGCTCTGCACTAAGCAATACAGGAAACTACAACTTATCCCAAATCGATACCTAGTAAACGTCTCACATGCGTCAGCAGGAGTGGGCCTGTGCTGCCTCTCGCGCACTTTTGACCAGTACGTCCTGCACCGCACCGGCAGTCGATGTTGACGATGACATCGTCTTAAAACACCAGACACTTCAGATGAGAATTGGGGGGCAGATGTTTGCAGACCGGTGGAATAAGCTCAACAGCTGCAAAGTCCATTGAGCTGCAACTTAAACCTCTTAGTGCATTGTGCTACTGGCCATGCTTTGTTGGCAAACCAACCTTTTGACCACCGGCGACAACAGCGAGAAGTCACAAAAGGATGCTGCTGATTATGAATGTGCAGATGATGCTGGTCATGATGAAGACCATACTGACAAGATAAGACCCATGGTACGGGATCCCTTTTGCTGTTCAGAGGTCGACAGCCACCGGGCCACTAGATGTTAAGTCCCGGGCCATATCCGCTTCTCATCCTTGACTTCGCTCTCGTAGAACTCGTTGGAGATTTTCCTGCAGCGCAAATGCTGAACGGGACCCGGCCCAGCAGCCAGCAGAATGCTCAGGAGGCCAGTGCAACTACAACGTCACTGAAGAGCCCCAATCGCATCATGAACCCTGGAAACTCGCAAGATTTTTCAGCCCGAAAACCGTCATGCCGCAAACATGTTAAAGCCCTGCGTGCTGAATCCCTAAACCTTGAACCCTAAACACCCCAAACCCTAAACAGACTAAACAGACACATACCCTAAACCCTAAACCCAACACCTACAACCAAGGATCTTTGTCTCCAACTTCTCTTTGATGGAGGCGAGCTTCTTCTCGTGAGCCGCCCTGGGCGGGGCTCGTGCATTGTGGCTTGGATAGGCTACACGGCTACAAACCTCCATCTATCCATCCTTAACGGTGAGGTAGAACGGCGTCACGAACTGTTTCTACCATCCTTCTGACTCTAATGCGTCTCGCTCACACGCTAATCAGCGTGCCGTTGTTCTACTAATTAATCTTGCCTGCAACACTATAGCGACTATAGCAACACTATGCAACACTTCTCAAAGCTCTCTACTGCTACCTTTGAAGCTTTGCCCACATAAAATCGAAAAAGACAGTGTGCTGTCGGCCATGTCGTTCCTTTAGATCCTTTCACTTCCAAGCTGCAAGGAGCCTTTTCTTTCAAATGTACTGGGTGCTTGCGATTCTCATCAAGTGCTCCTTCTTGCCCGAGCCTTAGAGCCGAAGCCCTGAAACTTTTCGGCTTGTCCGCATCATGGGTTGGGGGGAATCCGAAATCGAATGGTGAAGGATCGTTACGATCAGAGGCTCCGGCTCCTTCTCAGTGAAGGCCTTCTTGGAGTCTTCCTCCTTGGTGTTGAGCTCGGCGATTCGCTCCTGCTCGTTGCAACGGAAGCCTGGGGATTAGGGGTTTATAGGGTTGCCTCTGCATCCCTAAATTCTAACAACTGACGAAAAATCTCCAAACCTTTATTGCATGATTCTCTGTGCCAGGTTTAGGGCTCAGGCTACATCAATCCAAGACTAATGTCAGACTGTACCCTAAACCCGAAACCCAAAACCCTTTAGTAGACAAGGTGAGGATCCTCTCCTTGCCATCCTGGTATAGGCCGCGGAGCATCTCCAACGCAGGCAGCAACTGCGCTGAGTCGGGAGCCTCCGACACACGGAAAGTGCTGTGGATATCAATCTGCAGCCCCCAGGCTGCAATAATTAGAAGAGGGTTTTGGGGCGAACTGTACTTTAACAAGAATAGGGAAACCCCATAAAATTGGTAATTGTTTGGGCCCCTATATTACGCCCTCAATCACGCACCCCGGGCTTCACAAGCAAGCAACGTGTAGTCGTGTAGTAGAAGGAATAATTGTAAGTAGTCGCCGTCGTAGGAGTGGTACAATAGTAGTTGGTCCAACAACAGCAAGCTACGATCGCGTTTTCTGCGAAACATTGTCACCTGGGTAGCACTTTGATCGCTGATCTACGTGCGGTGTGGAGTGAGGTCGGGAAGGCGCATGTGACTCGGAATCTGCCGTTCTAACGTGCCTTTCCACCTCGCACCCTCAGCGATATGCGACCTGCGTTGTCGCCGTGCTGGTTCTGCCGGATTGCCAGGGACAAAGTGGCATTGAAAGGACTGCGCGAAACAGAGCTCTACTGGTTCAAGTTCACGCTTTCCCATTCGCAAAGCGTATACTGCGGTATACTCATACTTCGGCCCCGGCAGCTCCCTCTCCGCAAGAGCAAGTGAAGCAATCCTCGGAATACATATACTGCTTTACACGGGTTCGAGTAGGGTTCGGAACAAGCGTGCAAGATGAGGACACTAGCAGTCACCAGCAACTGAGCTATGCCCAAACAGTACATGTTTCTTCGCTTCACAAGCTCATGCAAGTTCTTGGCAGATTACTCCCAAGGGCCCAATCCTGCTTGCCTATGTGGACATGTCTCCATACATATGGGTTAGAACAGCAGAACGCCAATGCCCGATAAATTTAATCCCGGGGCCTTAATGAGTAGAACATGGCTCTGGGGTACAGTCAAGTTTACATAAAAGCAAGGCTCTGAAGAAATACTGACACTACAAATCATGCAGGCGTCTACAATAGACAGACTTGGACCTGCGAACTGGAATGTCCTGGACATGCCAGCTTGGGATCTTCTTCGGCCTGTTGCAGAGTTGTAAGTACACTGCAGCTTCCAACTGGAATCCTACACCGTCCTCAACCCTAAATCCTAAACGGTCTTCCTGACATCCTAACTCAGGCGACAGGCCAATTTCGCGCAATCGAAAATGCTGGCGTCCGTCTTAGTGAATCACAAGCATAAAGAACAACGAGCCTGCTGATCTTGCAGCCAAACCAGGCATCTCAATCTGGCAGAGTCGAACCCTTGCAGCTTTTGCTTCTTACTTCGATATCTAAGGGTTGCAGTACGCTCTCGTACTATGTATGCACTGCCAGGTCGGCGGTTTGTGGCTGAGGCTATGATTGAAAACAGTTTGCAGTCCCTAGGACGGACGCGACCGTGACTCCTCAGACACTTTGGTCTTGGAGAAGCATGTTTACATCCAGCGCACATCCACCTCGCACGCGCAGTGATATGCTGATATGCGAACGTGCGTTCGGGCTACACTTGTTCTGCCGGCAACAAAGTGGCATTGAAAGGACTGCGAGAACCAAAGCTCTACAGGTTCAAGTTCATGTCAAGCTTCCCCCTTTCATCATACTTCGTCTCCGGCAGCTCCCTCTCCTCGAGAGCAAGTGAAGAGCTTGAGAGTTTGAGTATGGTTCGGAAAACGGTGCAAGAAAAGGACACTAGCAAACAGACCTATGCCCAAACAGGGCATGCTTCTTCGTTTCACAAGCTCCTGCAAGTCTTTGGATCACTCCCAAGGGTCCAACACTTCTTGTGTCTCCATACACTGGTTATAGAATACCAGAACTCCAAGTATCAAATCACGAGACCGTAATGACTCGAATATGTTTTGGGGGCGCGGTAAAGGCTATAAAGGAATACTAATACTAACACTACAACTGATGTAGGCGGCTACATTACACCGAATCGGACCTCTGGGCGATGGCGCGTTCTGGACAGGCCAGCTTGGGTTCATTTTCGGCATGTCGCAGAGTTGTAGATGCACTGAAGCTACTGAAGCTTTCAACCTCAGTCTTTGAATCCCACGCCGTCCTACACCCCAAATCCTCTACTAAACGGTAAACCTGAAATCCCGAATACTCAAGCGACAGGCCAACTTCACGTATTCAAGAATGAGGCATCCGTCCTAGTGAACCACAGGCCTACATAAACGAAGCTGTGGATCCTGCACCCAAGCAAGGCATTTCAACGTCGCTTTCGAACCCTTACAGCTTTTGCTTCGTACATCGATATCAAAGAGCTGCAGTACAACGCTATGATATTATATCTTGCCAGGTGGAGGATCCGTGGCTTTTGTTCTCCCTAAAGCCCCCTGTAGACAGCTTGCAGTCCCTAGGACGGACCGGTCACTCTCTCAGACCCCCAGCTCTTTCAGGAGCGTCTCTAGCTCCATCTCGTAGCTCTCAGCCTCTGCCGCAGCCATCTCGGCTTCCTCTGGGTTCTTGTTAAGGACTTTCACTTAAGTCTATACTACAAAAGGGATCTATTTATGGTAACTTAAATTGAATTTCTCTAAACGAACCCAGTCCTCCAGGGCAAGCTCCGCCTTGCGCTCGGCTTCCGCAACCATTTTCTCTACCAGGTCGCCCATGTGCTTGATTGCCTCGGCGACATCCTCGGTAGAGTTTTCTACTTCGAAATCCATCACCTCCTCATTCTCCGTCGCAAGAACCTCCTCCAAGGCATCGGGAAGAGCAACTCAAATCTTAACTGGATCAACCCAGTGTCCCGACAATGCAAACTCCGCAACTCTCTTCCGCCCCTCGTCACCTCCTCGAACACCTCGTCGGCAAGCGCATGCTGAGCGTTGCTGTCCTCCCGCTTTGCTTTGCCGCGGCACTTCTTCCGCTCCAGGCCGGCCTTCTTGCGGGCAGCCTTTCCCAGGCGGCCTGGCTTAACCTGGGTTGTATAGTTTTGGGCCAGTAATTACTTAGGAATAGGAAAAGGTACCCTAGTCTATGGGCACCATGAGGGAAAATATAAAGTTTCCCAAAGTGCCACATCGTCACCATGTGCCGCAGGATTCGGATAGACCAGGCGCGCGCCTGGGCTGGTCCTCGGCGTCCACTTGGGGAGCACTTGCACGAGTCACCGTGTGCCATGCTGCGAACGGACCGGATGTTGAGGGGAGCCTTGCAAAGGCTTCAGATGAACGAAATCTCATGCGCTCGAGCCACAATGGCACGTGGAGCCAACACACTGTCGAATCGACGCTTTAAAAATGCTATAAACCACTCCATTTCTTTTGGTCCAACAGCAGCAAGCTACAATCGTACCACTGCTGCCACTGCTACTGCTACCGTTACGCCGCTGCTGCTGCTGCTGCTGCTGCTAGACCGATACTCATACTACATCTATTGCTACTGGTCCTGTCGCAACTGCTGCTACTTGTCCTATCACCGCCCATTAACAAAATGTCATTTTGCAGCCATAGCCGCGGTAATTGGCACAGATGATGGACTCTAGGTCTAGGTATTTTGCTCCACAGCCCTTCCAGCAACTAAACACGCGAAGTAAAAGCAGGACAGAGTCGAAAGGCTACGCAAAAGGATATCAAAGCTCCGATAGATGCACACATCCAGGCCCTAAAGTCAGCCCCAAGCCCCTGAAACCTGACATCCCGAAGCCGTGGGCTGCATGAGCCCTTCCTTCGACCTCCCTGAAAAGACTGCACCACAACCTTGAGACCTAACCCTTCCCCCCCCCCCGCCCCAATACCCCTATTACTCGTAAAGCCCTATACCCTAAGCTTTGTACGATGTACCTTAAACTCTGTACCCTATTGCTAAACTCTGCACCCCATACGCAACTTCACGTACCTCGAAGCTCCGGGCAATCTCCTGGACCTTCATTAGCTCGGCCTCCTGTTCCGGAAAGCTCGATTTAACCATCAACATCTAGGATTGAGGATTTCTAAACGAAGCCATAAATGGCAGGGTTAGGGATGGCAACCATTTTCATGAGGAAAACATCAATACTAATCATCGTAATGTAGCCATCCTGCAAGTAGCTATGGTAATAATCACAGTTCAATAACACATGTAAGCTCACTATCAGGACGAGAGTCACTGAATAGAAAACAGATGACACATCAGTGATTCTGACAACTAACCCGAAACCGGATGTTGAGTTAAACGTAGGCCCGTCTCAACAAGACCTGAATCCCGAATCCAAAATCCTAAACCCACTTGAGGACGGATTGGTAAGTTTACTCGAGCTGTCAGAGCAGTGAGCGCTGAAGGTTACAAGCATAAAGCCGTTGGGTTTTGTGTTAAGGGCGTTGGGATGTTATAGGATTTAAGCTACTAGGTTTTAGTGTTCACGCACTTCCTATGAAAGCATCCCGAAAATTCGAGATCAATGGAATTCAAGCCGATATCGCAAGATTGTGGTTAATCCAAGCACCTGTGTCCGGAAGACATCGGCGTAGAACTGATCACTGCTTGCCAGGTCCTCCCGGCTTCGGGATTTCAAGGTGGAAACAGACAGGGGCCTTAATTATTCGAGTTATATTACCGAATCTGGGTAAATTCTGCTTTAACAAAGGTGAAGATTGATGCCTTGCTAGCTTCACATAAATAACACAGAATACTGAGGATTACTTAAGGAAGACTGCTGCTTATTATTCAGGCCTGTGTATTGAGACATTGTACGGCCACTTAGGGGTTGCGAGCGTGGGGGTTTAAGCTGCCTGGTCCTTCTACCCTCGTCCACTCGAGTCGGGCGTAGGAATCTCAGGGTTTAGGGCCTGTAGGCGAAGCTTACTCCTTCTACTGCAGTAGAAGTCGCTTAATGAAGCGACTCGAACCAAGCCGAACTCTAAAACCCAAAGCCCTAAACCTCTTACCCTTAGACCCCAAGCCCCTAAACCCTAAACCCCTACACCCCTGAACCCTAAACCCCTTAACCCCTAAACCCCTACACGCCTAAAACCACTAAAACCCCTGAACCCCTCAACCCTAAACCCCTAAACCCTTAAACCCATAAACCCTACGTAATCCCCTAAAGACGTGCCAGGGCCTGCATGGACGACTGACGGCTTCCGACGTCGCGCTGCACCACCTTAGCCCTAAATCCTAAGCACTATTGCCCCACGAACTTGATATGCTGAGACATACGGAAGAAACCAACATGCCTTCTAGGACTATCTGACCACAGATCACAGCCGCAGGAGGCAGGCATAATAGCGCACGACATACATGCACACACTCACCGCATTGCAGCCGCATATCCGAGGGAATACGTAGTCTGAGCAGAATATCTTTCTGAGGCCCATGCGACACTCTCAGCGACATGATAGCAGGCAGCTGCGATTAGCAGGGACCTGGCAGGAGAGCGGGTGGGGGGTGAGGGGGGTGCTGTTTGTCTAGATGCTCTTAGATATCAACACAGCAAGGCCACACAAGGCTGTACAGGACCTTTGAGGCTAAACACACGATCGAGTGCTGCTCCAGTACGCGAAAAGACTTGACGGGGAAGTCCTTCCTGCTTCGTGCAACATTCGAGAATGCATTCTGTAGGGCTGCACTTCTTCAGCTCAACTGGCCGACGCATGCTGTGGCTTTTGACTTGGTGCGGCGCTGTGCGATCTTCATTGCGAGCAGGAGGAGCTCACCCCGCTCATCTTACCCAGGCTCAAGCCGAAAACGCTGCGTGAGGGAAGGCCGTCACACATGCAGTCCCAGCGTACTTTTGCGCGCTGTAGGTTGATGGTCAGGGCGTGTGGAGCCAAGAGGGTTGCGCGGCAATGCCAGTGAGCAGCATTCTGTTCATGTGAAAGTTGCAGGCACAATGCAGCATCGGGGAGTAGAGTCTAGGTCAGGCAGCGGCAGAGAACAGATCTTTCAGATTCTGCCACAACAACTCATGGAGGGTTGCTTTCAACCAAGTTTGCCACCGCGGTTCATGCTCTGACAAGATAGGAATACGATAGGATATTATGATGTACCACAGATGCAATAACTAACCAAGACCGCACCACTGTATTCAGCTTCAGATCGAAACAACCCTGCCAATCTCAGCACCAGGGAACAGGCCAGAGACTCGTCTTAAGCTCTGGTAGGGTGTTGCTCATGCCTGCGCGTGTCTGCGCGGCGAGAGAGAAGAGCGCGACATTGTCTCGAGTCTCCACTCTCTGAAGTTGCCGAACACAGTCCTGCCAAAGTTTGTGGCGCCTGCCGGGAAAAAAGATCCTGGGCCAAAATCAGATGCCGATATCACTCAGCTGTTAAGCTGGACTGTGACGGCGCGATCCGACGAAAAAACAAGCAAATCTATGATGACCTTCCGTGTGCCCGTCCGAAAATATGTTCACACCAAGGAGCCACGCATTGGACGATTCTGAGGCTGTCACCCTAACGCTCAAAGCTTAGAAGCCATGCAGTAAGTGTAGTCAGTGACCCGAAACGAAAACTCCAAAACCCTAAACCCCTGCACCCCAAATCCAAAACCCCTAAACCCCAAATCCAAAACTCCTAAACCCCCAACCCCCTAAACCCAAATGCCGAATCCTCGATCTTTTCTCGACAGGGAAAGGCTCGTGGCTCGAAGCCGCTTCAATGTGGGGATTTAGTTGCCTGGGTTCTTTTTGCACCAATTTAACTTCAGCTACGACACTGGGATCTAAGTTAGGGATCTATATTGTATAATGTAATATGGTTTCCTTATGCACATAATTTGCAATAGATCCCTAGTATGGTAGCTTACTCCTTAACAAGAACCCAGGAGTTAGCGGTCCAGGAGGGTCCAATGTTTCGGTCATGGGGTCCGCGGGCTGAATGGATTTATCGTGTAGGGCGTAGGTTCTAAGCTTTAGGGTTTAGATAGGGGTTTAGGGTAAAGGGTGATGGAAAGCAGTCATGCCATGTGAAACTTGCTGTGATAATCTCTGCCTGAAACCTGTCTTGCCTGCGAAACACAGAGAAGGGTTTTCTGACAGGCAGGGACTCCATGTCGGTCCATTCATGCATTGGACGCTATTTGACTTTAAAAAACAGTGTCCACGAAAGTCTCTCAGCATACTCCCACCCGAAGCTAGAACGATGTTCTTGTCGGGCTACCTCGGCACACAAGACGACAGCAGTGCTATTGAGGTATCAAGCTTGCAGCTATCAGAGGACTGAGCCGTGCCTTTCTTGGTTGAACTTGCCAGGGTGAAAAAGTAATGTCCTGTTTCTGAGGTCCAGTATTTAGGGTTCTACATTTCCGCATTGCAGACAGTCTGAAATCAAACTCGCCTGCTGGTGTTGCAGCCTCTGCCCTCATCCAGAAGCCCTAAACCCTAAACCAATCATGCATGCCAAGGCACGAGGGACGAACCTTACGTCGGTTGCGTGGTTGGGTCGCGACGGCTGATTATTCGCATGGACAAGCTCATCTTGCCGACAGGTGGCACACCTTTGCCAGTGTCTAAGTCCAAATCGTAGACCGGGCAACTCGAATACGGATCCCTGGGCGCATCATGCTGACATACTACAGTACTTTAACTCTACTGGGCCTTGCAGTAGCCAGGGAGGAAACAGTATAGACTTTCATTTCACAATGGTTCACTTTAAGTAACAGGTCCTCCCCCCCAAAAAAAAATCAAAATATGGTATTCCAAAACCCAGTCTATAGTACTACGTGGTACTATAATATCTACTAGAGCCTTGTGACCCGGAAACAGTTCACACTTTACTGGAGGTGCCGTGGCAAAAGTGCTGAATCTGGAAAATCTCCGGCAGTACACAGCATGTGTTGCAAGCCGATTGATGCTCCAAGCCCGTAGTTTACTGGATGCAATAGAATAGAATCGAATAGTACAGGAGATGAGAAGCAGGTGCATCACTGAGCTGGTTGCCTTGCATCGATAAGCCACCACTCTGTCATCCCCTTCGACCCAAAAACTCCTGCACAAAGTTTTTAAGAGTCAGGATATGGCAAGATGAACGTGAAAGTGAACAAAGCCCTTCTTGCCATACATGCGACAGCAATTGCCGACAAGCTTCAGCGCCATGTCCTGGCATGAAATTGGAATCCATGTGGCATGTGGAATGACGGAACTAGTGGACCAACCGTCTTTGAACGCTATATGCCGCAGAGCTCAACAACCCCGAACCCCAAACCGTAAGGCTTCAAACCTAGGCCTTGCAACTCCCGGAAGCATAAACCCAAAACTTCCCAACAGCCAAAGTCTCTGACCTTCCAAGCACCAAACGTCGTTCAGCCTTTACTATGTTCCATTACGCGTACATATAAAGAGCTTGCACATTTACACTTGGAAACATATATACACATACAAATAGATATGTATGTTTACAAAGTTTTATGCCTGATCTTCCCCTAGGCCTGAAGCGAAACCCCTCCTAGACAGGCTCGCCAGAGTCAAACCCGAAGCCCCAAACCTTAAACCCAACCTTAAACCCCAAACCCTAGGCCCAAGACCCAAAACCCTAAAACCCTAAACACAAAATCCCTAAACCATCCAAAACCCGGCCTGCTGTGAGGTTATCACGGTCCGCTTACGACGAGGCACACCAGATCGCGAGGGCCTCTGCTACAAGGGCAGAGGCGTCCTTTTAGGGTGAAGGATCTTGAGAATTCGGTATTTGGGGTTTAGGATTTTTGGGATTAGACTTTTAAGGTTTAGGATTTTAGGGTTAAGGCACTGGGGTCCAGGGTTTCAGGGTCTCTGCTTTTTTGGTTTGGGCCCTTGGGTTTCGAATTAGGTTTTGCGGGCTTTTGGCAGCGGGTTCAGTTCTTGCGCATCACCTCAGGGCACAGGAACGGGTCTACTTCCGACATAGCAGGGCCAACAAGTGGCAGCGATGTATATGAAGATTGAACTCACCCATCTACCAGGCGAACAACACTAAAGGATTGGACAGATGAAAGCAAACTTACGAAGGACCGTTACGGCGCATCCTCAGTCAGTCGCAAGAAAAGGTCTCGGCTCAGCGGCACGTCAAGAAGTCAACAACGAATGCGGCAATTCCTTTCGAAGTCGCACTTTCGATTCCCTTCTTGGAACCCAAATCATTCTGGTGGCGATGGTTGAGGCTGTGAATATGAAATCGAAGCACGACATGCTCATGCTTGTCGAGTTTCAACACGTAACACCCACCCCGGCAGCGACTTACAAAACGATGCTGGCCTTGGCAAGGCTCCAAACCCAAGAGGGACATTCAGAGCGTCCGACTTACATGAATGTTCTAGACACGCCTTGCATAGAACGGCCACCAACATCTTTTGCAGCAAATCATAGTTACTGGTGCCGGAGCTTTTGCTAATCATGACCAAGGGGCAAGTCCGCCACGAAACCTAGGCTTCCCAAGACTTTCGCCTCAGCCAGATCAGCTGCTATAGGGGTTTAAAGTTTAAGGTATGGCTTAGTTTTTTGCAGGGCTGTTTCTGGCTTTGTGGTTTCGGACTTCGAGGCTCAGCAGTTGTGCTTTCTTTGCAGGTTTGGGCTTTAGGACTCCGAACTCCCAAATGACATTAACCCGTATAGAGCTCATGTCAAGAACACTCACCCAACAGGCAAAGCTTTCTCGCCCCATAGCATCATTGTTTAGGGTTGAAGGTTTAGAGTTTAGTAAGTTAGCAAGTGTAGCATACAGCCCAGGTAAGGGCCTAGATAAGCCAACCTAAACTCACTCCCAATACTTGAAGCTTCTCCGTGCACGGAGCACGCGCCTCGCTAGTCGCTAGTCCGTGTCCAAGGCTAAAAGCGCAAATGGCAACATGTCTCCCTCCATGCAGCAACAGCAGGAGATCTGACAATTCCTCTGACTTGACTTGGTTCTATAGCGGTATTGAACTGTCACAGCCTGCATCCCTAGCAAAGCGCTGTCATTATTGTGATCTGTGGGAACCTATGTTTGCTGCTGCTGTCTCTCGAAATTCGAACGACTGTGACGGCTAAAACCTTTGCTGCTGCTACTATCGCTGAGCTACCCTGCATAGTTTTCAGTAGCCGCGTTCGAACTGTTCCATCTCAGGTGCTGCTGATGTTGCTTCCTTGTTGTTCTGTTGCCGTGATTTCCGCTGCGATTGTTCCCTCTTCATCGTTATCAGCGAAACGGGACAAATCTTCTCAAGATCACGGTCAGGCAATTGCACTTATGATTCTGACTACTATAGGGGCCTTAATAGTTGTATTTATAGTAAAGGGACCCCCAAAAAACCCTAGTCTATTTAAGCCCACGTACTACTGCTTTTGCTGCTTCTGTTTCCTCCAGACGTCCGGCGACTTCTCATCGTCTCTTCCGGGTTCTTATTAGGGGATTTAATGTAAGTTACCATATTAAGGATCTATAGTAATTAAAATGGTTTCCTTATTATGGCAAGGTACCATGATAAGGAAAGCATATTATGTACTGTAGATCCTTATGATGGTAACTATTAAATTAGATTCCTTAACAAGAACCTAGACTTCTTATCACCTCTTAGCACTTGGCTGGATCTCTGGCGGGAAATCCCCAAGAGCGAGCGGAGCAATGAGCAAGGTAGTGCTGGAAGCTTCTGGAACGTAGCCACAAGAGAAGACAGGTCGTCGAGTGCCGAAACGAGTGGTTTAGGCTAACTCGGCGAGTGAGATGTGATGAAAACCAGCCTAAGCCCGATAAACCCTAAACCTACACCCAAAACCCGAAATATCCGAGATCATACTGTCGAGTCGGAGCCTTTCACCGAGTTGAGTTTTGTTTTGTGTAGTCAAAACTCACAAAAGGGCCTGAGAATCGCAAGACCGAGCTGCCGCGCCGCCCATCTGCCATAAATCCAGGATAGTCCAGACCTTTCGGCTACCTAAACCCTAAACCCTTTTTGGAGCCAAGAGTTGGAGGTCTGGGCTTTTGAGCTTCAGGACACGGCTAAGGGTTCCCGATACCCGACTGTCGAAACTACGTCACAAAAAATCACCTCACCTAGCGTTCTATACCCCAAAACCCCTCAACTTGCGGCAAGCTCGAGTGCGAAATCGCATCATGGACGGGGGCTTCAACGTTAGATTTGTGACTGAACGTTTCTAGTGTCAGAGATCAGCGTGCCGCACTTCAGGTCTAGCCAGACCGAACCCGCCCTAAGCGATCCCCTATAACAACGACTATTGCTGCACGGCGCTTTGCCAACCCCCCCCCCAGCCCAAACATATTCCGCCAACATGCACGAGCCCTCCCCGGTACAGTAGTGATTAGTAGTCGTGGTGGTAGTAGTAGTGTTAGTAGTGGTGGTGGCGGCGGTGGTGATGGTGGTAGAAGTAGTAGTGCTACTGGTAGTGGAAGTGGAAGGGGCAGCAGTGATAGTAGCAGTGTAGTACAGTAGTAGTGCAGTTGTAGTGCAGCAACAGTTCAGTAGTAGTGCATACGTACTACGGCAGCAGTACAGTACCATCACAGCAGTAGTACCGTCTCATTAGCAATCCCTAGAAACGGCTCCAAACATCTAAACCCCCTGCACGCAGCCCTTACATACAGCAACTAACCCTTAATTCCATGTAGTTACAAACCCCAAAGCCCAAGTCGCACCAACTCTATGAACCAACAGTCAGCCCGCGCCTTCCGGTGCTGCGAGTCGGTCAACAAGGCGCATGGCCTGTCTTCACCCGATCTGTTCCGCTGTTTAGGTGCAGGGGATGGGGTACAGTAGCTGTGACTATCTGCCGCAAAAAAACCAGTACCATGGGCTTTACTACCCTGGGTAGCGCTATCTGCGGCGAAAAGATGCGAAAAGTATTGGTGTCCGTACTCGCACCATTCTACGAAATCTGGGAACATCATCGCTGCTGTCGCCTTGAGCATCACAAGGATGGTAAACTTGACGACGATGACGAACAGGACGATGATCACGATGCTGAAGAAGGTGGTGGCGGTGGCAGATACAATGATGATGCATATGATGGTCACAAAGACGGCGGTTATGATGATGATGACGGGAAACGATTCTGAGGTATGTAGGGAGCAAGTCTTTTGAAGCTCTTTGCGAAGTGCCTTGTTTCGTTGTTTGCCAATGTCACTAGGTCTTTTCAACATCTCTCTTGCGAATGCTGCAGGTCTGGAGATCCCGCTTTGAAGTTCCAAGCCCATCAGCTCTCAAAGCCTGAAAACCTTCAAAAATCACACCTACTAGTACTCAACTCCCAAACCCTAAGCCCAAACCAGAAACCCTAAACCCAAGACCAAACCCTAAACCCAAGGGCCTGTTCAACACGAGCACATCCGGGTCGCGGAAAACCGCCAAAAGAATCGCCACCAACTGAGCCTCTCCGGGCCGGAGGTCCTGCATCCTTGGAAGTTAAGGGTTGAGGGGTTTAGGGGTTTAGGGGTTTAGGGTTTATTGCATGATTATACTGTTGTACTAATTACAAGTTGCATGATATGACACAAACTATCATGGCGTACTGTGCTGTATTGTGCTCAGTTCAGTTCTAGTACTCTATTGGTTTATATTGTGTTGAAGACTTGATATGACACTCTGCGTTTATCGTTCTTTAATTACCACTGAGCGTACTGTTAGTACGGTTACTGCTGCTGTTCTTGGCAACGTTCTTATATTTGTTACAAGTATTGTAAATCCAAATTGTTCTTGCTGCGCATCACTAGACTAAAACTCAAAAACATGTGCATTGGTATTGCCTTTGCTTGTGGTACTACAAGATTTTTGAGCATATGATATAAGAAACCAACATGTTGTGATATGAGATGAGAATACATTGCATAATGGATTATGCATTATTATTCAATTTCATGATCTTTTAATAAGTATTAGAACGTACTGTACTACATTCCATTAAAATTGTCTCGTCGTATATAATTTCTTACTACTTTTACTTATACTGTATTATCTTCTGGTACCTAATGTTCAACTGTGATTTTGCCAGGTCATATAGGTCGAAACTTTGTTGTATCATGGCAACGTCCAGGATGATGCAGGGCTTTGTGTAGGGTTCATGGGGGTTTAGGATGTGGTGTTCACACCGTTTAGGGTTTCGGGTTTTCAGACTCAAGTTGTGCGTTTTGCTACGGCCAACCACCCTTTCGGCCAACATCGCCGAAGGAGATGGCCTTAATCATCAGAATAAGGGTTCAAGGGTATACTATAGTTTATTCATATAAGGACTGTAAGGGGTACTCTACTAGTGTGCCTATTACTCTAGATTCTGGATATTGTAAATATTGTTCGTATTCCTTTACCGAAGTTTGTTATTGTTATTCGTACCAGTCGTCGTCGCAGTGGTAGTCTTCTTCTTGTTCTTCTTCTTATCAACACTAGTTGTGTTTTTATGACGATGATGACAATGATTATTGTTGTTATTGCTATTGCTGATGGCCCTGTACTAAACCTTTGAGGGTGAAGACCTGAGGAGGCAAAGGCGCAGGTTGGAGATGCGAGTTCAGGGGTTTAGGGTTAACTCTACAAGCCCTACACCACGTGTTTCGTTGTCGAAGAAGCTTTTCTCCAGACCTCTTCTAAAGCTGATCATTTATTACTCCCATCTTGCCTCTTCGTCGGGGTGATTTCCAACCTGAGGTAGGTTCTGCAAGGATGAAATGCTGGATAATCGCCATGCGTCAGTCCTATGTCTCATCTGCAACTACCCTACAAAATCTCGGACAGCACAGTATCACTGTAGAATACAAAACCCAAACGCTACTGCGAACAATGTCATCTCACACAAGAATTTCACACGGCCATGTGCTCGTAGCTCGGAGGTGAGTGCCCGAACTGAGACATGCGACGCTTTCAAGGGAGAATCCGGGTCTCGGGTTCAGGGTCTGGGGTATTGAATCTTGAGGCCTTAATAATTAGAATAGGGTTTTGGGGCCCACTATATATATATATATATATATATATATATATATATATGCTCTAAGTATAATAAGGACAATAAGGAACCATCAAAATAGTACAGGTAAGTATTGAGGCCCCTATATTAGGTTGGTTGGGTGGTTTAGGGTTGGGTATTTTGGGTTCAGTCCAAAAAGGCTTTGGCTTTAGCTTTTGGAGTTGCAGCTTGTGGCCGGCCCAGCCGGCTGAGATTGTTGGGGTTTGAGGAGGTTTAGTATTGTGAGATAACATCGATGTAAACCAGATGTTCCCGATGAGTGCAGCTGATCCCTGAGTTTGTGATTCGTCTACGTCGGCACTATGTCACTATGCGACGAACGGGAGCTGATAAGGCTCTAAGCTCAAGACTTTTATTTCCTGCAGCACTACAAGGCCAAGCCTCCGTAGAATGCCCGACACTCTTGGAAAAGTCGAGATGCGGAAGCCAGTGAACTCCTAACATCCGAAGACCGATACTGAACTCGGCGACAGCCGGAGTGCACAAGCCCTTGTCGTTTGAGTTCTCCGTGCCCTGTCGCCTAGGGTTTACGGTGTGTAGAGGTTCGTAGCTTAATGTTTAACCTTCAACCGCAACGATCAAAAACCCACAGCCCACCAGCGACTAGACGCTCCTAACCATAACTGTCTCAACCCGCAGAAACCGCCTTCTGCCGAGACACAGTTGGACTAATCTCTCGGACTCACCATCTGCCAAGTTGACGGGGCAACCGTCCTCGATCTCCTGCCGCACTCATGCTTTCGGCTACTTCAGTGGGCTTCTAACTTATGACGATAACTCGTTCCTGATGAGGGATCCTTAGCCGCGATCGGACAAAAAAACACCACCAACCGTGAACCTGAGCCCCCAGCGTTGCCTCGATCCGTGGGGCCGGGCCAACACCCTATGTGTGTCTGTCTGTGTGTGTGGTGGTGGTTTCACGGTCGGTTTGGGGTGTAGGGTTTGAGGGTTTAGGGAGTGGCCGACACGCTACCAAACGGACCTAAACTAGAGGGACTTAAACGCCTTCTGCCTGAACCTAGCGCATTCTCATCAGTTTCGCTGATTGATACGATAGATAATGCCACCAATCATGCTGCGAAAGTCGTAGTAGCAGTAGCATTTTGCAAACATAATATCAGGATCGCAGCCAGTGCTGCTGTCAGGACTGTTGCTGTTTTAAGTACTGCTGCCATTTGCACATCCCTTTGCTTCGCTGTGCTAAATTCCAACCGCCCTTATTGAAGGTAGGCCCTGGACCCTCAGCCATCAACCCCGAAGTAGTTTGTGGGTTCAGGGCCTGAACCCACAAATAGGCCCTGAACCAAAACCCCAGAACCCTGAGCCTTCAACCCCAATGTCAAAACAAAAAACAAAGCATCATTGGGTCCTCGGCGACTTTGGTATGCGGAGTTCGCAATGCCACGGCAGGCACGTAGCCAACGCGGATGCCCTCGTTGTCAGTTCCCGGCTTGTTTTCTGGCAATGTCTCTCTTCTGCAATAACCGGGCCCAAAACAGCTCAAACTTTCCAAACTTGAACAAACATTTGAAGCCAAAAAGCTTAAGGCTCTCGCATTTGCTATGCAAGATTTGGGTTTCGAACTTACCGTGGGAATTATGCGCAAGCGCTGAGTCTAGATGATGTGAACGGGAGACCGATACCTTGCCAGTCACCACAGGAATACTCAAAACTGAGTACCGCTGGTTAAGACATGGGGGCTTCCGAAAATTAGAGGTACCTTATTTTGGGGTCCTTACAATAAGGATCCTACTATTTAGGCCCGCTATATTAGGGCCCCTATTTTTCGGAAACTCCCACATGGAGTTAATCAGACGGCCTCGGGCCGATACAGCCGACCAAAAGGGACCATCGTCAGCTCCCCGACCTGTTTGGAAGTCAGAAAGATGGGTAGGGCTTACGGTTGAGGGTTTAGGGGTTTAGGACCAGGGGATGAGGGTTTAGGGTTCTGGGCTATATCGCTTCGGATGAGTTTGAGGGCTTCAGGTGCGATCTTGGGCTGAGGGCTTAGGATCTTAGGTTATTCATGGGGCTTCGAAACTGTACGGCCGTGTAGGTTCAAGTTTTAGGTTTACGGTTTTTTTGGGTTTGGGAGGAACGGCTGGGGTGTTCCGGCAGGTTGGAAGTTTACGGGGTTCAGAGGCAACTCAAAACCTACCTTTTTGTAGGGACACGATAATTCGATATTCGGGTTGGTAATGAGAGCCCGCAAAACCAATGGGTTTTAGTAGCTCAAGGCTATTTCGCAAACCCCACGCCCCTGACCCCCATTATCCGATAGCCGGCGCTGTATACCCGAGTTCTTGTTATATAAGGGATGTAATTCAAACTCTCATAATAGGGATCTATAGTACGTAATATGGTTTCCCTACTATGGCAACTTAATTGAATTCCTTTATCCCCTAAACCCTTATAGAACCCTTAAGGAACCCTCAAAGGAACCCTCGAAGGAACCCCTTATGGATCCCCCAATTGTTAACGAAACCCTTATATAGTGCACCATATATCCCATTATGGTAACTAAAAGTAAAGTCCCTAACACGAACCCAGAAACTGCAAAAAATCATCGAGGCGCCTGTGAGAAAAAGTTCACGAGCTCCCTCTCCTAGAGGGAAGGCAGAGGACTTTCAGCTCTTTTGTCATTTGCTTTTGGGTTTAAGGTTTATAGGATTTAAGGTTTAAGGGTCAGGGTTTAGGGTTTTGTCTTTTGAGGGACCCCAATATAGTACCCTGAATAGTAGGATCCTTATTATAAGGACCCCAAAATAGGGACCTCGAATTTTGGGAAGATGCCTTTTTGTTCAACCGGCCGTAATCATCTCAAAGCTTAGGGTTTAAGATTCAACAATGAACTGTCCGAGGCTTGCATTTCCAGCTGCATGCGTTCTTCTTTTGTCATGCCCAGTACCCTGAGAATCTGAGACAACATCGAATTCCTTGAAATCCAAAAACTATCGGGGTTAGGACGGGTCCAACCAGCTCTGCAGAAAGAAACACAATGCACCCGATACAAATAATAATGACAATACCAAGAATACTAAGACTAATAAAATAATAACAATAATAACAACAATAACAACAACAATAATAACAGCAAGAATAATAACAACAATAACAAAAATAACAATAATAATAACAATAGTAATAATAATAATAATAATAATAATAATAATAATAATAATAATAATAATAATAATAATACTAATACTAATACTAATAATAATACTAATACTAATAATAATAATAATAATAATAATAATAATAGAAATAATAGTAATAATAACCATAATAATAATAATAATAAGACTAATAATACTAATAATAATAACAATAATAATAACAATAATAATAACAATAATAATAATAATCGCTGCAGCAATGGAAGGATGCCTTGGTGCTCGAGACGCGAACGGCGCCGCCGAGCGGAATCGAGAAGCTTCGTTTCAGCATCCTCCGAGAGGTGGCTGACATTCCCAAAGGGTCCAAAGTACCGATATAGTAGAATGTAGGGTCTCTATATTAGGAATTACTATTAAAATGATTTGGGGAAGTATTCCCCATAACAGTACATAGGACCCTTTGGGATTACTACCCAGGGACTCCAATATCCCTTAATTAAGGAATATTACGTAAATCATATTAGGGATCCTACTATAATTTAAGGAAAATCCCCTAACTAAGGAATATTGGAGTCTCTGGATACGTACCCTTGGTTAGTAGGGAATGGCAGAATGGCGTACAATTATGACTACTATTGCTACCATTCTTCCATTCCCTACTAACCAGAGGTAAGATTACTACATCTTAGTGTTTAGGGGCCCTTTAAGGTTTAGCTGTTTTGTGCTTCTGTACTTCAGGGTGTCATATTAGGGTTGAAGGTGCTCTCGTCGGCTGTTCACTGTGGGTTTGCGGATCTCGTGCATTCGACGTCGAGTGCTGCTTGTCCGAGCTTAAACCGTAGCTCTGATGCACCTTTGGGAGAATGCGAACCTTAGATTCGTCAACTTAGTTGCTGAGTTCATAAGACCCAAAAAAGTGTACACTTTTAGTTTTATAGTGGGCAATATGATCCCCAAAAGTGTAAAGTGTATCCACTCAGCTACCAAGTCAACACCGTCATTGACGAAACATAAAGTTTCAGCACCCTGGCGCTATAACCCATACCAAAGTCGCATGCTGGAAGCGGGATCGCCATAGAAACCAGAAGCTAGTACTGCAGGTCCCTTGACAGAGTCTCTTCTTCAGGGTTAATATACCTCGAAACCCTCGAACTGTAATGCAGGTCCTGTTTTGTTGGGGTCTCTTCTTCAGGGTCATACACTATTCCTCAAAACCCTTACAACTCCCTCAGCCCTAAACCCTAAAAACTCCGCAACACCCACCCGGAGCTTCGAGCAGCAGAACAAGAGATCGAGTCTCAGACAAGCCTCAGGCCAGGCAGCGCCAAACCCCGAACCTGAAAAGCCCCCTGAACCTAGCGTTTCGGGTTTAGGTCTTCGGGTGTCAGGTTCTGAATCTTATACCCCAGAACCGGAATCCTCAACCTCAAACTATCGACTATAGACCCTAAACGACCCTAAACCTAAAACCCCGAAACTCTAAACCTGAAAACCCTAAGCCTAAGCCCACGATCCGAGGCTCTTGGGGCCCTGGCTCTTGAAGCCGGGAAGGGTTTACTGTAAGGCCGTGTGCCTTGCCGTTACAAGCCCTCCCGACTCCGAGCCCGAGTGAAGCCATAACATCGGATCCTTCATATTCATATGTATATATATATATATATGTGTGTCTATATATATATATATATGTATGTAGAAAAGGGTTTGAGGGGTATACGATAGAACGAAGTTGAGCGAACAATGTGGGGGGAGTTGCGGGCTAGCGGACTAGTGTTGGTAATTACGAGCCCCGTTAGGAACCCTGCTGAAAACCCTCAGTGGAAGTAGGAAGTAAACCTGACCCTAAGCCCTAATCATGCCCTATAATCCCTTCACCCTCAGTCTCTGCACCCTGAACCCCAAGCACCCTAAACACGCGGTCTCCTCGATTTGTTTCGCTTGAGATCCATTCCTTGCACCGGGCTAAGTTTGCAAAACCAGTGCCGTCCGAATGCAACTACTTACGAAGGATAGGATGCAAACAAGACTCTGCAACCACCCGAAGGGAAGGGAGTACAAACACTTTAGCACCCTTGTGAGCCCAATGATCCCAGAAACAGAAGTTAGGCCTATTTAATAATTTTATTCGTACTATTACATTGCAGTTATTATGTATATCACTAGTAACTAGTATTGCTTAATATTCTTATTCTTGTTCTTACTATTCTATCTTGTGAGCCGTCTGATCTTCTGGAGCTGACTAGCATCCAACCTGCGAGAACTGCGAGAACAACCCCCCGCAAATGCTCCGAATAATAAGCCCTTTTGAAATTCCTCTGGACGCGAAGCCCGGCTTTGGATTTCAAAGGTGGTCCAGGATGACAGCTTCAGGATGAAGGGTTAGGATTTTGGGGTTTAGGGCTTTAGGGATTTAGGGTTTATGATTGGGGCGTGGGCATTTCTGCACAGGGAGGATTGAGGGTTCGGGGCGCTTGGAGAACTTGCAGCTTGGATACCAGCAGCATCATCCTTCACAAATCGAATCTCGTTGGACCTGCACGTGTTGACGCCACGATTCTCGACCAACATCTACAACGACGAAGAAGATATTGCTGAAGGTGTTGATGATGATGGTGATGATGATGATAAGGCGCCGGATGATAATAATGATGAGTGTGAAACTGGGAATTAGACTGCTGCTGAACTCCCAGAACCCATGGTTGTCAACACCGAACGAAGTTGCATAGGTGAAGGTATACACATCAACAATGAACCACCAGAATCATGTGGTTGGCAGGAGCTGTGGCTGCTGCAACAACCCAGAGTGGCATGCTGCGAACTGCCAACCATGTTCCATTCTCACAACAGCGATGGCTCATCTTCATATTCTCAGTTGCTATGACCGCTGTATGAGCTAGTATACTACTCTTGCCACTTGTTAACGATTGTGGCGACCAGGTGTACTGCACCGTTACCAAGAACGAAACACCGTGCGGGGCTTACCGGGCAGCAGCACCACGTATTGACTGGACAAGCTTGATTACGCAATTCCTGCCAACATACGGAAAATTCATAAGTTCAGCATCGGTACCGTTTGTGAAAGATGATTGAAGGCTCTTTCCGTCAGACCACTGGCCGAATTCGAGCATTCTCTTCTCCGTGGAAATAGCAGTTCGACTTTGACTCAAGGCTTGGGGGTTCGGGTTGGGTAAGTTCAGTAAGAATGGTTTCCGAAAACCAACTCCGGTTCTTGTGAGAAGAATTTCGGAAATTCAATTCTGCAAGGCTGAGGGAATTGCTGGGGTTGTTGGGGGAACTTCGAGACTTGTTTGGGACATTTCGGAACACCATGTTTGCTATAAAGACTTTTCGGGCAGACGTTTTAGACCGTTTCGCAAAGGCAGTTGAGTAGTGCTGCTGCTCCTGCTGCAGCCGCGCCTGGGAAACCGTAATGCTACTGCCACCACTATGCAACTACTTGTATTCGCATGACTGAACCATACCGAGATGGGTGCCGCACCGTTGGAGGGCTGGTGGTCGTAGTAGGAGTAGTAGTAGTCGTCGTCGTCGTCTTCGTCGTAGTTGTGATTGTTGTTCTCGGTGCTGTTGTTGCTGCTGTTGCTGCTGTTGTTGTTGACGTCGTCGTCGTGATACTAGTGACACTCATACCTCCTGGACAGACTTCCCCTAAACCCTGAACCCTCATATAAGGGCCTGAATGATTTGAATAGGGTTTTGGGGCCCACTATATGGAATGATAATGAGGAATCCCCCCAAAATATTATGGGTCATTATTATGGCTCTTAAACCCTACACCCTGATGATCCCTTGAAGGAACTCTTATAGAACCCCCCCCCCCCCCAAATAGTATAGTTAATTATTGAGGCCCCCTACAATAACCGAGGCCCGGGCCCATGAGCATGGACAATATGCGAGTCGCTGGACTTTACGGCAGACTTTTCGGGGAGGTTCACCAAAGTTGCGAACCTCAGGAGGGTCTGGGCTTGGGGCCCTTGGTGTTTAGGGTTTGGAGTTAAGGACCATAAGGATAGGCGCCTTGGGGTGTTTTCGGGCCATTGGGTGCAGGCTTTTGCCAGTTCCTGGTTTCAGGTTCGGCCAAGAGGACCCTGAAGTCCACTCCATCCTCTTGTCCTCTACCTTCAAATTCAGACATGCCCTTACGGGCTCCTTTAAGGGAGCTATGAGGGTTACCTTAAGGGTACCGTACTAGGGTTCTAGAATCGGGCGTCCCTTGAAGGAACGAAAGAGCCGAACATCCCAAAGCAAAAGCAACGCCCCAAAACACCCAGCCCCCAAAGCCTCTAATAGCCCAAAGAAAACCTCTGAACCTCGAAGAGACCGAAGAAGAACGAACTCAACCCCGGATGCCTAATCCCTAACACCCTTAAACCCCTACTCCCCAAGACCTAAGCCCTGAAACCCTAATCCCAAAGACTTAAACCCCAAGCCCTCATTGTAAACCCTATCCCAAAGCACGAAAATCTAACAAACTCGTCTGAGCCCCTCGGCTGCTGCAGCCCTACACTCGCCGAGAACATCTTGATCAGCGAGGAGATGACCTTCTCCAGGTACTTGCCTGTGTTGTTTAGGGTTGAGGGCTTCGGGTTAAGGGTTTAGGGTGTAAGTAGTAGTAGTAGTCGTCGTCGTCGTCGTAGTAGTAGTAGTAGTAGCAGTAGCAGTGCAGCGACGACGACGGCCTCGACGACTCGTCCTACTACTGATTCTATTGATGCTTCGGATATGCTGCTGCTACTCAACGTCTCACTTGTTCTTCGATTACTGCTCGTCGGGTTCATCACGCTGGTGCCGCGTTATGAACTCTCTTACAGGGCATTGCTACCAGTGTTTGTGTCCCTACGCTTCTTTCCATCAAATCTTGTACTAGCTGCAGCAATCGTGATTGCGTAGAGCAGCTGCGAATGTGTGGCTTTGGGGGCCGGCTGCCTTAGGGCCTTAGCGTTCTCTCGCTCGCGATGGTCAACAGTCAGCAAGAGTGCGAGCAATGCTTACAAGGGTAACACCTCCGGCACGCCGATTTCCCACCAGGAGATTTTTATAGATTTTTCAATTGCAGGACCCAGTAACAGTTTTCAACGACTACCCGATTCTGTCCCAAAGCCACCCCTAAACCCAACACTCCCAAAAAACAAAACTTCAAGTTGGCACCCCAGGGGATGGGGATAATCGACTAAAGCTGCTTACTAAATCGTGAAAAAGGAGTGTATGTCAACATTGGGACACAGGCAGTTCTTCTGTTGCGACTAGATCGTACTACAACTTACCACTGTCACTTTTCACTATCACTAGTCTTACATATTATCAACCTTTTTTTCGTTCGTATTTCGACTCTCTGAGCCTGGCACAAACTAGAACCCCAGCCCCAGCACTCCACACGACACCTGGACTGCACGAACCATGCACATCCCTATAGAAGCGACACACCTCAGTGCCCCAAAGACGGAAAGCCTCCAACAATTCCAAGCTTCGAGTTCCCAACATCCCCAACTTAGACGCGCAACTCCACTCCGAACCCTGAGCCCTAAGCCACGTGTGCTGGGCTCCGGGGTCCCCAAATCACCTAATTTGGAAGGCACTCAGAATTCTGCGAAGCCGCCGCAGCTAGCGAAGACTTTCCTGGCAGAGTCTTCAGCAGTGCTTTGAATGCTTTAGGCGGTTTGAACCAGACACCTCATGACGAGACCCGCTCGGCAGGATTATTCATGGGTCCCTGTCCTAAGTTTCAGCTTGGAGCCCACTCAGACCGGTTCGACGCTCGAGTCGGACTTACCGCTACTACCGGGATGCTGTGCACATGCCTGCGCGAGGTCCTCCTCAGATGCTGGTTAACCAACGAACCGACGAACCGACGAGTAAAGGAAGAAAGGAAGGAACGAATGAACAGAACGAGGGAGGGAAGGGAAGAGACGAAGGAACGAACGAGCACATAAAGAAGCAAACAAGGAACATCAATGATCAAGTATGTGTGTATGTATGTGGGTAGTTGTCAAAATAGGCGTCCCTTTTGGGTACCCTAAATAATAGGTGCCGTATTATATTAGGGACCCAGAAAGGGACCCTAATATTGACAACCACCCATGTATGTAGATAAGTATGCACATGGCAATGACATAATGAAGTTGATCACTGCGGCAACCCAAACCTCATGCACTGCACGACTGCACAGCTAGCCCAGTGCCCTAAACCCCGAAACCTCAAAAGCAAAGGCTCAACCGCATGCAAAACAGGGGTCAGAAAATAGCAATACTATAAGTAATAGTAGTGATAACACCTACGAACCCAAGCTTAGGTTCATACCCCAGCGGTCAGCACTGCAAAACTGTCCGATAAAAGTCCCCGAAAAACTACACGACAATGTGACAATATACTCTAAAAGCCTGTTCTAATGATTAAGGCCCCTAAGTTCTCCCCCTTGGACTTGTGCTTTCGGGGCTCACTTTGCTTAGTTCGGCCTCGGGTGGGAGTCTCAAGTAACAAAGCTTACGGTTGAATCAGGCTCTACACAAGTGAAGGGTTTCATAAGGGATAGCTTTCTTCGGTTTAGGGGGCTTCAGGGATCAAGCCAAAGGCTCTGCCATTGAGGGCTCGGCTCGGGCCTTTCGGGGTTTAGGGCTCCTTATACAGGAAATTGCCGAAGATCTTTGAGAGGGTTGCGCTGCGTTGCAGGCAAGGCACAGCTGGAATACGAAGTCTCCAGATTGGAAGACGTCTGAACCTCCGGCCGAAGCTTTAGGTTTGAGGTCTAGGGTTGAGGGCTTTACCATCTTCTTAGAAGACCGTGTGTGTAGCCTTAATTGCATTCCTCCTGGCTTCCTTTAAGAGCCCAAGAAGATGGGAGGAACCATCTCCCCTGTGCTGCGCTCTTCTTGTTGTCCAACCACCTATCCTTTAGCACTCTTCCTGATCTGCTGTGTTAATCGCAGACCCTAGGCGATAGTTTAAGCCTAAGCTATACCGCTCTCTTTTGCTTCGGGTTTCACGAAGAGGGCAGACCCCGGCACGAATGCTTTGAATGCTTTGCATCGGTCCTGTGCGACGACTCTTCAGCAGCGCCGCAGTACCCAAGATCAGGATGAGGACGCGTATCAGGTGCGTGATCCACTTGGTAAACCTGAGGCATCCATTATGTGTGCGAAGTTGCGACTTTCGCTGCGCAGACCTGGACAAGTAAATTTTGTACTGTGGAATATTGCAATGCACCTAGACTCTAAACGGATAGTCCTGCTATCTCGGACTTGCCTTTGCCAGGTTATAGTAGGGCTTGCCTTTGCCAGCCCGGCAAACCACTCCTTGCAACAAACGATGGTGATGACGATCGCGATTCTTGTGCATATATGGTGACGCCACGACGATGCTGACGCCGAGAATGATTTCTTGTCATCCCGATGCGAGTTCATCACGATCATCAACTTCGTCGTTTTTAAGTGACGACTAGACTCTATCCCAAAGAGTCCAAGTAGCATTCTAGTGGGTACTTAGTAGGCCTTTGGGCCCCAAAGCATTATATACTATACTATCACTTGCACCATTTGGGTACGATATACTGGACCCCTGCCTGCCAATAGGGACGTGGTAGAGGCGATAACGACCGTGAGCTGAGCGGGAGGAACTTCCCGACTGCATGTTGATGTTCAAGAAGCCCCGGCTCTAATATAGGGGCCTTAACGACTAGAATAGAGTGCTGGGGTATATTATACAAGAAGTATAATAAGGAACCCCCCCAAAAAAAAAACAAAAAGTACAGGTACGTGTTAAGGCCGCTACATTAGCGCGTAAGGGTCAGCATGCGTTGTCGCAAAAAAGCCGAGCATCACCTGGCAATATCAAAAGCAAACCCTACAAGGCAAATCACTCCCCATCACCCAGACCTTCCAAAATCCCTTCATTAAGGAATATACCTTAAATCATATTAAGGATCCTACTATCATTTAAGGGATATTCCTTAATTAAGGGATTTTGGAAGGTCTGGGCAGTCCAGCCATGCTGCCAGATGGTGTCGTTGCTCCAGTCACGCGCTTTGATGTGGAAGGTTTGGAAGAACCGGCTCTCCGCAGTGAAGCGCAGGTCAAGCCTAGATGCTCGTGCAAGCGGCAAACATCGCGATCGCAGTCTGATGCTCTTAGACTTAGGCTTCTTACCTCCAAGTGACGAGCAACTTTCAGGGGCAGTTCTTCCCTAACCATTGTAGGGGAAGCCCATTGGTTCTGATTTGGGTCGGAAGGCTTGACCACAAATTAGGATCTGAATGTTTAGCGATAGTTAGAGTGTGAAGGTGTTGAAGCTAGGGGTGAAAGGTGTTCTTTCTGGATTCCCCTTGGGGCATCAGGCGACCAGGCTATGACTAAGCATTTTACCACAATGAATCCGGTTTTAGAGGGTGTCGGGTTGGAATTCAGGATTTCAGGTACAAGGGAGAAGCCCGAAATTCTCGATGGCACCTAATATTTAGGGTACCCAAACAAGGGACCCTAATTTTGACAACCGCCCATGTAGCTGGAACCAAACTGGCAGACCTAAACCCCCACCATGCACCTCAGGCACCACCAAAGCCCGCACGGAATGCATAAACTCCAAGCTTACCTTTGGTTACTAGGGAATGGAGGAATGGGGTACAATTATAGCTACTATACTGTCTTATACTGTCTTACTACCATTCTTCCATTCCCTACTAACCAATGGTAAGCAAACAGCTCAGGAGCGGGCTTAGAATGAGTGCGCGTAGCAAGGCTCCGCATGGAGGCCCCTGCGTGGCAAAGCCAGGACAGGGTGTCCACCCAGGCAGCCTGGATTGGTGCAATGCTGGGTGCTGGTGGTAAGAATGCTGGGGTAGTGGCAGTGGTAGTTGTGGCGGTAGGGGTTGGGGATAGGCGTCGGGTTCGGGGTAGGCAAGGGTAGCGGTAGTGGTAGGGACAATCTCTTTGCATGGGTACAGCAAAGTGATGCAATCGTAGTGCTCCTTGATAGCGTTCCTGCCCTCCGCTGGCTGAGAACTCAAGCATTCATACCCTTTAACGAGGGGCTTGTGGTCCCAAATGGGTATGTAGGGCCTATTAGAGGGTAGATGGACTAGGAAGCGTGATTTTGAGAATGACTGAGGAAATATTGCCGAAGATCTTGGGGATTCTTCCCTCCAGGCCTCTCCCTGCATTCTCTGCACGAGGAGTTTCCCAAGCCTGCAGTGGGAAGAGCAGTGGGGCCTAAGGTTTAGGGTATAGGGTTTAGGAGTTAGGCCTTTTTTGTTGAACCCTGGTGTCTTTTAACCAAAGGCGTTAGGGGTTGGAGTTTAGAGGTGATAAGGGGGATTGGGGTTCAGGAATCAGGGTTTGGGGGTTTAGGGTTCTAGGGTAGGGTGGGCCTACTTCAGGGCTCAGGGGACTTACTAACAAGGGTAAGGGTTTAGGGCCTAGGTTTGGGGTATAATAAGGTCGCTGTACCTTTTTTGAATTATACCCAACATTGCGGTACTTATAACCTTACTTACAATCTCCCACGGTATTCACCTGCATGTCAAGGTCCGTAAAGATTGCTCCCTTGTCAGCTCACACACCGTACTGACCTACAATTTTTGGTAAGGTCCCTGGAAATTCATACAATTCATGATATTTAACCTACAAGAATACCATTACCCTCCCTGAACCTTTCAAACAATAAGGGTAGGACCACACAGTAGGTGTCCAGGGTCAAACAGCGGCGAGATAGAAGGTCTGGTTAGGTTTTGACCTAAACCCTACACCCTAAATCCTGAACTTTAAACCCTTCTTCATCGTCCGTGTGGCGTCTTGCATAAACCCTAAAGCCTTCGGTAGTTCTTGATACATCTAACACTGAACTGCCTCGGCAGCCGAAGAACGGCGAAGGCGCAAAGGAACATCTTGGTACGGCTCAGCTTTGGGCACGTCTAATGCGGTTACAGGCCTCAATAGTTTGAACAGGGTGTTGGGGCGGGAGGGGGGTATAGTATACTATGGCTTTAATGTGGACTGCAAGGGGACATAGTACTGCTATCTGTTCCGCGCATTCCTTGGTTTTGGCTTTTGGGGGTTGCAGCCGCAAGCAGAGTCTGAGGCAATATTTCCGGGGCTTCATGTCTTAAGGCAAACGCCAGAAAGTTGGAATATGATTATCCTTACCCTTCTATGGTAAATTATAGGGTATCCTACCATGAAACCATATTCCAACTTTCTGGAGTTCCCTGTATGATGTGGGCCTAGCTTGTAAGGCGGCTTTCGTAGGCTCCTCAGCTCATCCAGGCAGACTTCGGGGTTCATGGGCGGATACGGACGATAACATTATTGCCACACGTTATCCCAGTCACAAGCTACGTAAGTAATGATACCAATAATAGCAGTAGTAATGATAGTAATAGTAATAGTAATAGTAACAATAGTAACAATAATAGTAATAATAATAATCATAGTAGTACTACTAGTAATCATTGTAATAATAGTAAAAATGTAAAGCTTTCTCTAAGCCCTGACCCGGCTCTTGGTTTGCGAAGCAGCCAACTCTACTACCCTCTCCCCGGGCTTGCATGATATAGAGGGAAACAGACATCCCTAACCGTGGAATTCTGTTCAGAAGCATCCTGCTGCATTTGGTGGTGATATTGATGCACTTTCTGAAACTCCGAAATTCCAAGACAATGCCCCATCAGCTATTTTGCCTGCCAAGGTCAGATTCCCTCTCTTTCCCTCACCAACTCCCCCACCCCCCACCCCACCCGCCTAACACTAGCTTGAGAAACGAGCTCCAAGCCCTGCAAACATGAAGCCACCACCCTCCAGGGCTTTAGGGCACTTACCGCTTTATCAGGGTTTTGGGACTTTGGTGGGTGGGCAGTGGGTGTAGGGCTCATACATCCCATAATGTAGGGGTTTTAATGTTTAGAATAGGATTTGGGGCTCCTGTATAGTGCAAAATTTAAATACAATAAGGATCCCTAAGGAATAACTTTGGTAATTATTCCGACCCCTAGATCATAAACCCTCAAAGAGTGCTTGGTGAATGGCCGTGGCCACCAGGGCCACTGTCGGCATGATGAGATTGACCAACTCATCACCTCTTCTCGGAAGCGGGTTCTAGGGCGGAAGTTCGGGGTTTAGGGCCTGGGCACAGTAGAAGCCAAAAGCAAGAAGGCCTTCGACAAACCCGTAAGCCCAGTGGCCCCGAAGCCCCAAGCACTCAACCCACCGGAGCTTTTGTTATGCTTTTGGTGTCGGCGTATCATTCGGGGCTTAGGATTTGGAGATTTGAACACCTTCAGTTTCCCCAATGCCCCGAGTGAAGTACTGAGCCCCCGTACACTCCAAGTCCTGAACCGTTCAAGCTCAACCCTGCACTGCCAAAAAGAACCCTGGACAGGTGGGAATATATTCTACGTAGGGTTCATGCCAACTGCCAACTGCTTCTACCGGCCGTATGGCTGCTTGTCTAAACCCCCAGACCTCTCTACAGCAAGCGCCGAACTCCACATACGCACTGAACCTCGAACCCTGAATCCCTACACCCTCAACCTCGTACAGGGCTGATCCTAAACCATAGGATGTAAGGCTTGGGGGTAACTTGTACCCTAAATCCGCCCTACATAAGCCCTGAACGCCGTCCTCCACGAACCCCGGAACCTCCAGTTCCTCAGACTTGAACTGCACCCGAAAAGCCCAAGAGCCCACTTAACCTAAGTCGAATAGGCCCATCCCACCTCAACAGAACCCCATAACGTGGCATGCTACGATTAGAATAGGGAACTCTATGATAGAGTATCATGAAACAGCTCCAGCAAAGCCATAAACCAGCTGAGGATTCGACCCACATCTTCCTCCGCGAGCTTGCTTAGCTGAGCCTTGGCAAGAACTCACTCCACATCGCTCTGAGTGTCTTGGGGAGGAGAGCGGGCACCCTAAACCCTAGACCCCTAAACCCCAAACCGGTGAAGGAACCCTCTAAGGGCCCGGCATAGCAGATCATGGCGACGGACAAGAGGAGTCCGAAACCACTCTGGAGAACCACGAATCCTGCTCAAGGGCTACTAGGGCTTAGGGTTAGGGTTTAGGCTACTGCAATAAGAGGACCTCCGGTGATAGTCGCAAAGGGTCGCTATTGTGCGTGTCATTTTGTCGAAGGCTAGCCCCCTTTTGCAACTGGCTCGCAACGTCACGCCGGCCTAAACCCTAAACCCCAATAACCCTAAACCCCGAACCCTAAACCGAGATCCCTATGATATGGAGTTTCCGAAAATAGGTGACCCTGATACAATACCCCAAATATGAGTAGGATCCGTATTGCTGTAACGACCCCAAGGTAAGGTACTCCCAAAACTCCGATACGGATCCTAGGGGCTCCATAGTCAACGCTTGCGGGCATTTGGCAATTTGGAGGAAAGGTTTCAGTCAGGGTTTAAGAATCTGTGCCGGAAAGGGTGGCCCTGTGCTGATGGGTTGCGGGTCAACGCTTTGAAGTTAGGAGTTCAAAAAGGGTTGTATTTTGGTAGTCGTATTACTGCAGTATGATCATGACTCTTACTAGTAGTAGATGCATTGTCTGTTATCGTTCTGTGGGCGTCCAAGTGGACAACTCCTTCAGCCTACATTCCACATGACAGTGCCAGCTGCCTTGATAATAGGCATCCTTGGCCATGACATCCGTGTTGTTGACCTCGCAGGCACATGGCCGGGAAGGCGCGGGCGGGGGCGGCTGCTTCACCAAAGAGCCTTCTACGCTAAATCTTGGCCTGCACTTGAAGCCCCTATACACATCAGTTCCTTCTGGAGCTCGCTAGCTGATGAAGGACATCCGAGGTGCTCCAACGTAGAACCACCAGTGGCCATCAACCTTGGAGAGCTCCTGGGGCTCTGTTGCGGCTTTTGATCTTGGGAAGTCATAGTGCCGGGTTTCGGACTACAGGTGTGCTGATTGAGGTTCCGGGCTGAGGATCCGGGGTTCAAGATTTAGGGCTCTTGGTTAAGGATGTGGGTTGCAGGCTTGAGGGTCTTGTAATGATGGAGCATGCTGCGAGGTACAGCACCCCTTGTGGCAACTATCCTCGAAGTAGTACCCCGGAAGAACGCTGATCGGGCTCTCTTGATTCCCGACTTTCACCCTCGATGTAGTACAGTCCTCGGCATCCAGCATCAGGAGCTTCGCGAAAAGCTGTCGTCGGTGCACCATGCGAGTGCCACCGGTACCTCCATCGTTATTTCAGCGAATTCAGGGTTCAGGCTTTAGGGCGGGTATCTCCGTCTTCACACACCGGTCTGCCCAGATGCACTCGCGCACGCTTTGATTCACCACTCTAGGCGGACATCGGGGAATTCATCCGTCCCCTAGGCTCTGAACCCTCAACCTCTAAACTCTGAACCCCCAACCCTGAGACTGCAAAGCACAAGCTTGCAAGGCTGCCAGGGCACGACCGCGATTCTCAGTCGCCACCTTTCGCCAGCTCCCCACATCCCAGAAGCAAAAGTACCCAAATGGCCCACAAAGAATATAGGGTTCAGGGGTTTCAAATTTTAGGGTCATCCCTAAACCTTAAAAAGGCCTGGACCATGCATAAACCCCCGAAAATAGACCTTTGAAGTATATCACTCCAACAGATCACAACGCTGCCACGGGGTATCCGATCGCGGCTTATTATAATATAATATAATTATATAATATAATATAATTATATAATATAATATGATATAATATGAATGCAGGGCTCAGGGCTTCTTCGGTCTTGGGCTCAGAAGCTAGGGTCTAGGACGTGTCGCTTGAGGTTTAGGCGAGGGATTCAGGGGTTGAACGTCTTTCGCGTAGTGTGGGGTGAGCAGAAAAGGATCCTGGAGTATCTGAAAGTAGTAGCGAACTCTTCCCCCCCCCCCCCAAGCACCAAACCCTAAACCCGGGAAAGCCCTGAGAGCCTTGAAACCGAGAGCACAAGCCGTTGAACTCAAAACAAAAAACAACAAACAATACTAGCACAAGTAAACAGAACCCATGCCTCGCAATAAACCCGGTACCCCCAAACCCTCAAAGCCTTAAACCAGGCAAAGCCTTGTCCCCCCAGCGGAGCAACGCCAAGGACAGGAACGATACCACGCCTCGACTGATGGGATTGAACATCTGTTTGGAAGTTCGGAACCATGGTCCTAGTTTAACAGGACCATGGACCCGAACTTTAGAATCTGTTTTTCGCACGGTGGTGTAATTTGTAAAACGGTTGTACCGAGACAACCCTACAACTGCAGCCGAACCCGCAATACACCAGCGGAAGTGCAAGCCGCAGGCCGCTGACCTACTTTAGGCTTGTGGGCTCAAGTCCGAGCAGCCGAGAATGGTAAGCTCCAGCAGCTTGTCTCCAGGAGCGTCTGGGTCAGATACCCGGTCGAGGGCTTCCCTTAGCCGGACTTTGTTGCAGTTCGCTGCTTCCTTCGAAATTGTCAGCTTTCAAGTCAGATGCCCCCCTCACCTACTGAACATAGGACGCTTTCCCGCGTCATCGGGAAATGCCAGCGGTCTAAACGACCGACAACAGCAAAAGCAGCGCAACAAAAGGACCTCCAGAACTATTAGCACCACCGAAAGTCCCGCTATCAGTCGAAATAATATGACTCATTCATGACCTCTTGCTGCTGCTGCTGCTGCTGTTCCTGCTGCTGAGCTACTACTACTACTACTACTACTACTACTACTACTACTACTACTACTACTACTACTACTACTACTACTACTACTACTACTACTACTACTACTACTACTACTACTACTACTACTACTACTACTACACGGGTTTGTGTGGTGTGTGGTGCTGGTTTTTGAAGTTACGGGGTTTGGGCGCGGCGTCGTAGGGATATGACTTCCATGCCAAACCCCCTTGTTGTTGACCTCTCTGCTACTTGTTTGCACGTGCTTTTTTACCCATGTTGCCGCAATGACAGCTTTTTGGAACGGCACAAGTGGCATGATCTGACATGACCTGCAGAAGCCGCCGCCCTCGGGACTGCCCGCGAGACTTGTCTGAATTATGTATGAAAACCAAATCCCAAAACTCTAAACCCCCAAATCCATCAATAAGCTCTAAAGCCTCAACCCCAACATACCCTGAGCATAGAATCCCTTGAGCTCACAACCCCTCCGCCCATAACCCACAGCTCCAATGCGGGACCAAGGACCCAACACCTCCTGAACTATATAAGCAGTGCCTCCTGCGCGATTTATAGGGCTTCCTAAAAACGAAGCTTCTAACTCAAGGATTGCACCGCCTCGTTTTGTGTTTCGAGGCATCCATTAATCTAAAGATTTTGGACCCCTAAACCCTAAACGCCGCAGGTCTTATCACGCCCAGGTCGAGGAGCTTTTGGACCAACGCCATGACGCAAACGCTGTGGATCTGAGTTTGGCTGGGCACTTTGTAAGGAATTTAACTTAAGTTACCATACTCGGGAACTAGTCTATAGTAATTGGTGTGGTTTCCCTATTATGGCAACTTAAATTAAATCCCTTAACAAGATCTCAGTCTGAGACGTTAGCTCTATTGGCCTGATCTAGGGGCCTTAATAATTAGAACAGGGCTTCCTTTAAAGGGATCTATAATGGTTACTACAAGGGGTCTATAGTAGGGTTCTATAATATAAGGGCCATAATAATGGGTTCTGGGGCCCATTATACTATAAGTCTGTTAAGAGGCCCCCCAAAATAGCATCGGCAATTATCTAGGCTTCTATAGTACTCGGACTATTCGCGAGAAGACCTTAGGGATCAGTTTGGGCGTCGCGGCAGCTGACTCAATACATGGGTAGTTCTCTAAATTAGGGCCCCTGTTTGGGTATACCCAAAATAGTACGCCGCCCTAATAAAGAAAAGGGCCCTAAAATCGATTCTAATTTGGAGCACTCCCCACATGTCCATTCGCAGCAGACGGCGTGAGTTTCGGGTTTAGACTTCTTAACATCACGACCTGACACGACCGCCATGCACTCACGCCGTTGTCAACTGAGGCTGCAGCCGGTTGATACCTCGCTTCAAGAGGCTTGTAGGGTTTAGGGTTTAGGGTTTTAGGGTTTAGGGTTTAGGAAAGATAGGGTTTGGGGCCAGTTTAGGTCTAGGTTCTCAGCAGCAGGCTGAACTTGCATGCAGGAGATGGCCGCTCGTGCAGAGTTCGTGATGTAGCACCGGGAGTGCAGCATTCTCAACAGTAAAGTGTCGTGCATCACGCTCAGTTGCGAAAACCAGCACCGCAAACCCAGAGCCCTACGGCTGTGAGAAGCAGAAAACGCCAAGATGCAAAAGGCCCGCCAAGGTCTTCCACCATCGGAGACCTCTCGACAAACGGCGCTCCTGCCAGGGAAGTAAATAGGGGTTTGGGCCTCGGCATGTACTTGGGTTCAAACTTGAGTTCTTTGAAGTCCGGGTAGAATAATGGCTTAGTTTGGTTTCAACTTTAGGGCTTAGGGTATTGTCTACAGTACAGCCGTTCAGGGTGTAGGGTACGGTCTTCGTTCGTCATCACAACCATCACGATCATTATGACCATCACCATCATCACCATCAAGCTTGTATATAATGACAGCGGCATTTGCATTAACCTGAGGGAAACATGTTCGTATTCAGACAATAGCCTTGCCATCCGGCACCTTACCGGCACGACAATTTAATTTGTCAAGCTATTTTCGTCGGAGCGGCGTTGGGTTCCCGAGTTCCACATTCTGCCAACTGATTTCACGCCTTTAGATGAAGACTGCGTGAAATGCAGAGGGCTTGTCGTCAAGCTACTCGTCTTGCTTCTGGCTTTCCAGAACGAGCCAACGCCACAAGCAAACACGCAACCATGCTGAAGATAGCCAGACATGCCTCAACCCTCGATGCCTTTTGCTCACCTGGCTGAGAAGAGCAGCTGAAATGTCCTGCAGGTAGTACCAGGTGATCCAGAACTTGGACTCCCTGGGATACCGCAAGAGTCAGATGCTGGATTTAGGGTTTAGTTCAGAATGCCGCAGGGCTTCGCATTTTAGGGCTTATGGTTTAGCTCTAGGGCTGCAGGGCTTCAGATTTGGGGCCGCAAGTTTTGGATGTGAGGTTTACTGTAGGGTTTTTAGGACTTAGGGAGCAAGCAAACGGCACCCCCATAATTAGCTCGGGTTTAGGGTTTAACTGGCACCATTTACCCTCAACCCTTCAAGCCGAAACTCGAAAATCAAAATGAAGCTCTTGTGGATGGTCAGATACTTCAAACATGGGCGCCCTGTACCAAATTTGCCTAACAGCCCACTGCTCACGACGTGCCGACACACAAAAACCGTGTAGTGAAACTCTGCAGGCTGCTGGGTAGTTGGACCCGCTCCAAGCTCTGGTTGAACCGGTACCCAAACGTCAAACTCTGCAGGCTGCTGGGTAGTTGGATACCCTCCAAGCTCTGGTTGAACTCGCGGCCAAACGTCAGACTCTGCAGGCTGCTGGGTAGTTGGATGCCATCCAAACTCTGGTTGAACCGCTCGCCAAACGTCAAACTCTGCAGGCTGCTGGGTAGTTGTACGCCATCTAGGCTCTGGTTGAAGTGGAAGCCAAATGTCAAACTCTGCAGGCTGTTGGGTAGGTGGATGCCATCCAGGCTCTGGTTGAATTCGGCCCGAGCGTCAAAGGTCAAACTCTGCAGGCTGCTGGGTAGTTGGATTCCATCCAGGCTCTGGTCGAATTCGGCACCAAACGTCAAACTCTGCAGGCTGCTGGGTAGTTGAATGCCATCCAGGCTCTGGTTGAATGCGGCACCAAACGTCAAACTCTGCAGGCTGCCGGGTAGTTGGACTCGCTCCAAGCTCTGGTTCAAGCCAAGCGTCAAACTCTGCAGGCTGCTGGGTAGTTGGACGCCATCCAGGCTCTGGTTGAAGCCAAGCGTCAAACTCAGCAGGCTGCTGGGGAGTTGGATGCCGCCCAAGCTCTGGTTGAATTCGGCACCAAACGTCAAACTCTGCAGGCTGCTGGGTAGTTGGATGCCATCCAGGCTCTGATTGAACAAGGCGCCAAACGTTAAACCCTGCAGGCTGCTGGGCAGTCGCATGCCCTCCAAGCTTTGGTTGAACACGTACCCAAACGTCAAACTCTGCAGGCTGCTGGGTAGTTGGACCCGCTCCAAGCTCTGGTTGAACCGGTACTCAAACGTCAAACTCTGCAGGCTGCTGGGTAGTTGGATACCCTCCAAGCTCTGGTTGAACTCGCGGCCAAACGTCAGACTCTGCAGGCTGCTGGGTAGTTGGATGCCATCCAGACTCTGGTTGAACCGCTCGCCAAACGTCAAACTCTGCAGGCTGCTGGGTAGTTGGACGCCATCTAGGCTCTGGTTGAAGTGGAAGCCAAATGTCAAACTCTGCAGGCTGTTGGGTAGGTGGATGCCATCCAGGCTCTGGTTGAATTCGGCTCCAAACGTCAAACTCTGCAGGCTGCTGGGTAGTTGGATGCCATCCAGGCTCTGGTTGAATTCGGCGCCAAACGTCAAACTCTGCAGGCTACTGGGTAGTCGGATGCCCGCGAAGCTCTGGTCGAACTCGCGGCCAAACGTCAAACTCTGCAGGCTGCCGGGTAGTTGGACCCGCTCCAAGCTCTGGTTGAACGGGTACCCAAACGTCAAACTCTGCAGGCTGCTGGGTAGTTGTACGCCATCTAGGCTCTGGTTGAAGTGGAAGCCAAATGTCAAACTCTGCAGGCTGTTGGGTAGGTGGATGCCATCCAAGCTCTGATTGGAATGGCAGGTGAGTGACGTGGTTTCGTTCAGGGCAACAAGATCAGGCGGAGCCAGAGTCTTTTCCGCGAGTAGGCGCTCCCACAGCAACGCGACACGACCCGCGCCGAGCTTTCGCACCACGTACCAGATCTCTTCGTGCTGGACTTGAGGCAGCAGCAGCTGGTGGTGGTTGATGGCACAACCACCGGATGTCAGCACAAGTAACTGCGCAGGGTGGCCAAGTGCAGCTGCGATGCGTTCTGCTACGTTCCAACCCGTTTCGCCAGAGTTGATCTCCAGCTCAAAGCTGGTTCCTCCCATGCCATGAACGCTCACGGTCTGCTTGGCCCTTTCCAGAGAGGCCTCTGTGGACTCCGGGAGGGTCGAGATCTGTTGCATGATGCCTCTGGTCCGCATGCAATCCTCCATGGCGTTCTATGGATGCGGAAGTGAGGGCTTTCGGCTTCGGGGTCTGGGGGTGCGAAAGGTTTAGGAAGCTAGTTTAGGGTTCAAGGTTTAGGCAGCTAAATAGGGCTTTAGGCTTTAAGGCGGGGGATGTCTGGTGTTGGGGGTTCTAGGGCTGAATTTAGAGGGTTGTCTGGAGTCCAAGTGAGCTCACCGGATGCGCGCTTGAAAGATGTGCAGGAAATCCGAGATACTACCGCGCTCTACTTGGAGGTTCATGGGACTTAGGTAAGTAAGGTTACAAGTACCCTTAACTGGGGCTATATATACTCAACCATCAGGATAATTAGCACATTTGTAGAAGTGAGCAAAAAACCCACCAAAGTCGTTCAAACCCGAGGTTAAGAAGCCATCTAAAGTTGCCTCAACATGAAGCCCCGACTCCGGCCATCATGGTAGAGTCCCCTGAACCCTAATACTAGCAATCGAAATAGCTAGTAATAGATAGGAATGGCAACAGTAATCGTACCCGTACTCGTAATCGTAATGGTCATAATAATAATGAAGAATAATAGTAATAGTAATAGTAATAGAAATATTCACAATAGTTGTAATCATGGTATTCGTAATAGCAATAGTACCAATATTTTTAGTAGTAGTATATAATACTCCCTGAACCCTTGAACCCTAAACCCTTTTAGTGGTTTTGTAGAAAGAACTTGCTACGGCCTCTTGGGTCTTGAGGCCTTCGGATTTCGGGCTTTAAGGCTTAGGCTTTGGGCTTGGGCTCCAACCCTAAACCCTAAACCGTAGCGTCTCAGGTTTAGGGTTCAGCCTTTGGCATTTTAGCCTTGCGGTTTGGAGCCCCCGAACGTCCGATTTTCCACTTATTTTCCGATCAGCCTAACTGCAGGGCTTAATTTTAGGGTTTAGGGTTTGATTCTGAAAGCTGCAATTGACATGTATCGCTGGCGGTGCCATAGACTTCGCTGGGTCAACAGAAGGTGTGAACCTAGAACCGTGCCGCAAACGCAGGAAACCTACGTTTTGAAGGGCATATACAAACAAATCACAATAAGAAACCCTTGAAAGATAGGTTCATTGTTGGGAGGGGGGTAAAGCTGCACCCAAAATCCGTCAAGGATCCGTTTCTCTTTGGGGACGTTGCACGGGAAGGCGTAGTCGTTGAAGATGTAGACTCGAGCCTGGTGTGGAGTGCTGGGAATGTGGATAAACAAGCTCAAGAATCATCGGAAAGTTCACTGCCACCGGAAGGATACATGTTGTCCTTCTAATTGAGAGTCGTAATACCATTATGTAACGATGACGGTGCTGTGTCGTTGCTGTTGCGCCTCACATTCTCACCACTATCGGATGGACATTAACATGGCTCGGGCAGTGCAACCCCGCCAAGGTCAAACTGTACCCTTCCGTCTGTTTCGGGGTGTGCAAGATAATGCCTGCCCATGCTTGCCTCATGAAGATGATTCTTCAAGATCATTTGTGGCGGGTTCCTTCGGTTCAACCCACTGGCATGTGGTCAGCCTCGGCTTGCTCAAACTAGCCTTCGGCTCTTTGGAAAGCATTAGGCAAGCTTCCAGCCGCACTCATGAATCGCTACCTCAAGGTCCAGTGTATCAAAGATCGACGGCTGCTTATTGTACGAGGAGATGGCTCACCAGGTGTAGAATTCAAGCTGGGGGGGGGCAGGGGTTTCCATTTCTTAAGTTAAGAAATTCAGGAAAAGCACTCTTATGATTCTTGCAGTAGTGCGACAGACATCGCATGCTCCCTGCCTTGCGGTGCTCGGTTTCAAGACCAATTGTGGGGCCACCTCGGTCGTGGGTGCGAAGCGAGCTCAACGGTTCAAGTACTTCTTGTATTGTACTTCTGGGCTAGTCTTACGCTTCTCTTTGCAGCATTTGGTGATACTGATCCTTTCATCATGATACAAGGGCAGCATTGGTTGCAGTCTGAAGTTTATCCTGCTCGTACGACAAGTATAGAATGCACTCGAGGGTTTAGGGATTAGAACTGTAGAGTTTTCGGATTCACGGTTCAAGCATTTGTCCTGAGATGCATAAGCAGAACTCGCACTTTCACCGTTGGTATGTATATGTGTACAGATCACATAGTAGTTGTGGTTGCGTAGCAGTGTTGCTACTACTCAACGGCAATATGCATGCTTTGACAAATCATAAAATAGTAGCGTAACAACAGCAATCGTCAACAACATCAAACAGCTTTATGAAAAGGGTCTTAACAAGGAAGTAAGACAATTTAGCGGACCGTTGGACTGTCCTCTTGGTTCTGCATCCGCTACCGTCTTTTTTGGTTGAACAGTCGGTCATTCAGCTACGCTTTTGATTTCGGGAATGTGGCACACAGTTGTCCTCAACGCAAACACGCCTGAGCCGGGGTTTGTTCCTCCTCGTCAGCACCAGAGTCTGCGACAGCAGCATTTTCGGGAAGGGGGCTGCTTATGCTCTACAGTAAACCCCATAAAGCTGGGATTCCCTAAACACTACTCTTAGGGATTGAGGTTATTGGGTTTCCAACTTTTTGGGCTTCTACTGTAGAGGAGGGCAGGGAAAGAAGCCAAGACAAAGCCTGCTCCTGTTTGGGTTGCGATGCTATTCGGACTCCCTTCTTGGCTGAAAAAAGACAGTCAGAGGAGGCAGAAACCTAGACCTAACATAGGGGCCTTAATAATCCGCCGAGGCCACAGGCCCAGGCGTCTTGGGGGTTACCTCAGGTACCCTCACCGTTTTTTGCGTTCATTTCCTTGCCCGGCTTCCCTTCATTTCACCTGATTTGTTGGCCTGCCTCTCCCTCGCAGGCGCCCTCCCCCCCCGCCCCCCACCCACCCCCCTCCTCCCCCCACCCCCTCCCCCCCTCCCCCCCCCCCCTCCCCCCTTCCCCCCCCCGTGCCTTGGGCAAAAACTCTTGCAGTAATTTGCTTCCTTCCGTCTTGTCATTTCCTGTTTTGCGCGGCCGGGAGGCTTTAACAAGTTGGAGGAAAAGAAGCACCCCTCCCCCTGTGCCGATACACCCACAAGGAAATACTCCTTGTTAGGAGGTGTATGACCAGTTTATTCCCTAAGGATCAAAGGGCAGCGCCCTGCACACGGACAGTAGTTGTTTTGTCTTGCTACGCAAGGAGAGCTTGTCTTGTCTCAATATGGTAAAACCACTTGAGCCAAAGGGCAGCGGAATGTATATGTATGAGCATGCAGCCATTGCTGTAGGTACCTGTTAGAGCTACCCCTTTAGAGGTTTACGGAATCAAACAGACACTAATTTTCTTTTACCGGAAGCATGGCCGCACATTCACACATATACTATTATGCCCACTGTCACAGTTGCGGAGTTTGGACTCATGATAAAAACAGCATATTGTTTATGCTAGGTATAGCACTGAAGTACACTGTTGAGGTCACTCCTTTTGCACACACTCATGCATGTTGGTCAGAGAGATCATCTGTACAAGATCAGGTCTGGTAATGTTCTTCTACCGAATTATGCAGCCCTTCATTGTGCTCTTGTTAGAGCTTTGTGATTCACTGTTGTGAAACTCTGAGAATTTTCTTATCTCAGATTCGGATCCAGGTTTGGATCATAGGCTCGAGCATAGACGTTCGGATGTGGTTCATCCGGGTCTGAGTGATCTTCTTCGGAACTTGAAAAGATTCCGAGTAATCTGTTCTCAGCCCTGGTGAAGGCGGCGTCTGCAGTTTCATATCCATGGTTGGATGTGGTCGCCTTTGGCTCGGCCTTTGGTGCAGCTTGTGAGCTGATTGGAGTTGCCTTGGCTTTAGCCGGTTGTGGCTGCTTAGCCCTTGCCCGTTCGGCCCTTCTTCTTTCAAGCTGTCCGTCTGAGGACGCCCATGATCTTTCACTTTCATCTCCTGAGGGAGATAAGGCGTGGGCATGAAGGCTGTTCCAGTACTGTGCTGCAGAAGGAGTTAGGACTTCTTCATGGTCAGATTCTGACTGGTCTTCCTCAGAGCTTTGGTCGTCAAAAAGTGTCTCAAGGACATTTTTGAGGTTTTTATGTCTTCGCTCTATCTCTAGTGAGGAATGGACCAATTGATTGAAGACTGTTTTTGAGTCCTTCAGTGCTGTTAGAAGGATTTCCACTCTGGATAGAGTATCTTGGATGGTGTCAAGATGATCCTTTCTTTCCTCCTTGTCTCTCTGGATAGAGTTTCGCAATGATTGTGCGATTCTGAGGAGGTCGAGATATTTCTCAATAGGCATAGTTACCGTATGATTGTCATGTATGACAGTTGTTTCGTCGCTGCTCAAGTTCCTGAATAGGACTTCCACGACTGGTAGAAACTCCGTGCTCCACGGTTCCTCTTCATCATATGTTTCTACGTGCTGTTGCACGCGTTGTGTAAACTGCTCGGCTGCTTCTACCGTTGCATCGATAGAGCTGACGTGTCTTACTGCCATGTTTCGGCACATAGTGTTAATGGCCTGGCCTTGATTGGCTTCGCCAAGTGCAGCGTCTGCATGGTTGCAGAGTCCACTGTTATGGGCTTCTCTAGCTGCTTTTCGTTGAATGCGCCGATTTTGACCTCCTCTTCTGGTAGGACCTTTTGGTCTCGGAGGATCTGAAGGTACTGTTCCTTTCGCCTTTGGCGGAGGAGACTTAGGTGGAGGTGACATGTTTGCCTTGTTAGGCACTGGTGGCATTGCCTTGGGCACTGACGACGATGAGGCACTTGCGAGTGCAGATGTACCTCTGGCTCTTGCCGAGGATCCCTTAGGGATTGATGTATAGGTAATCTGCATGGCTTCTTCGGCCATTTGTGAATGCAATGCATCACTGAATAATTGCCTCATATGAGGAGTAGTACTTGCATCGTCATAGGTTTGAAACCGTTCAATGTCCCTTTCGGTGCCACGTGATCGTGTATCACCTCTTTGAAAAGGATCGTTCCTGCGAATCTCCGCAACTTGTACTGCCTGGAGGCAGGTTTTACACAGCACCTTCCTTGAAACATCTTTTGCTTGCTTGAGCTGGTAACAGCTGTCTGAAAGATGGTAGACTTCGCTTCGGGAAGTGTGCCACACAGGTCGCAAATCCGTTGTTTCTCCAGAATTGACCCTGTTGGGTCCTAAAGGTTCACGCGTCTGTGGTTCATTCTCGGGTTCGAGAAATGGTGGTGGTCGTTTCGCTGCTGCTTTTGCATTTGATTGTTGGCGGTCCATACATCTGATGGGAGCCCTGGTGAGCTGCTTCCACATCCAGTGTAGGCCCATTAGCAGCAGAAACACATTCCACGCGATGCTGAAGACGGAGAAATCTTGCTCACTGGTTAGTGAGTTTGGAAGTGAAGGTTCATCAGTCTTGATAGACTCTGCGTTTGCACCGCCTTGATTACGGTGTCCGAACCAGCCCGACAACCCCGCTGCTGTGGCAGCTGTTCTGAGTGCCTTGCCGCTCGGAGCAGACGGTGGGCGTGATGCCTTCCTTCTTCTTCTCCGGCTGGAGGATTCGTCCTCTTGTTCGTCTTCATCTCTTTGAGCAGACATCAGGTTTGATGTTTCTCGTTCGTGCTCTTCAATATCACTCTTTGTTGGAGAGTGCTCTTCTTCTTGTTGTTCCTCAAGTGTGTCCAGTTCCTCTAAAGACATGTTGAGCTTGTCAACAATATTGGTTCTTTGAGGTCTGGACCTTGATCTTGGTAGATCTTGTTGTGAAGAGGACGATGATGCCTGGCTCCTTCTTGGAGGAGGGCCTTCAGGCTCGCTGGGACGTTCAGGCCTTGGCCTTTCCCAGAATCTTCCATATCTGTGATAGCTACCTTGTGGTTGCTGTTTGTCGTACCAGCTGTTGCCGGATGAATACACAAATGAGTCTTTGTAATCCCAGTATTCAGCATTACGCTGCTTGTAAGCCTGTCGCTTGTTAGCGATCTTCTGAACCTGGGCATCTGACCGGTTGTGTTTCCCTTTTGTAAGGATTGGTTGTATCGTGAAGCCCAAAGGGCTGTGCCAATCTTTGTCAGAGGGACTCAACCACAGGTCAAGGTTAGAAAAAGTTGAATAGTACTGCTTGACTGAGACAAACAGACGGATATCGATATCCCTGTTTCTGTTCATGTCCTGCCACATATCTGAGACTCGTTCCCAGTATGTTCTTTCGGCGGCAGGTGTAGCATCTCTTGGACTAGGTGACGCCGTGTGCGGCGTTTTGCTCCAGTCAAGGATATAACTGTTGATACAGTCGAGGTCAGCAACTTTCTTCGCCGGTTCCGGCGGTAGACGATCTGCACGTGCCAGTCTGTGCTGGTCAGAGTTGTTCAAGCAAAGGTGTCGCACTTGTGAGTGCCTTCCTGCTATTCTGTTGAATGCTGCAAGTTTCTTCTCCAGGTATAGAGAAAACAAACCGTTTCGCGGGTGAACGTCTCCACCTTTTAAGGTGAGCCTCGACGCAATATTATTGAGATCCCCCGCAATTACATCCGGTTTGAAAGGGAGAACCTCGTTGAGGAACGCGTTCACCAGTTCGCGCCTCTGTTCTTCCTTATGAGTCATGTATGAGTTGAAATGGACGATCGCGATGGTGATGACC